CGAAAAATGTCAAAAGTACTCATAAGGTATTATGGTATCAAAATTTGGGACTTTATCATAGAATATTCGTCAAGTCCATTAAATTTTATTCGTTATTATAGCTTCAAGATTTATCTATGGATGTGTATATGTACAGACATATATAAAGGGCTCATAAGTAAATTTTCGCTGCCGTCTCATTGTGGCGCTTCCTTTCCATCTTTCTGTATGCGTATTCATGTTGCACGCTTATAGTCGTCGCTTGCATTGCCTTGGCCCGCTGAATTTTCATGCTTCAGCGCGTGTACTCGCCTCCACCACAACCTATTAGACCTCCTCGACGTCCACCTCATCACCATTAACGTCAGCGCTGTCGGTGTCACATCACCAACTCGCTCAGGCGACAGCGTATTCACTACGCAGCGTTTGCCTACTCGTCTCCCGCCTCAATCCGCCGTCCGGCGCCTGCCGCCTCTTACCAAGCATTGAGGCGTCCGTCCGTGCCTTCCTTGGCTTGGCTGTGCGTTGTTCGTTATTCCCTGTTCGGTGTTCGTTGCTCGTTGCTCGTTGCCCGTTTCACATCAGATTTAGTTTAATATTTGTCTCTGGTTCACTTGCCACTGTTTGTTGTTGCGATTGCAGTTGCCGTTGTTGCCGCATATTGCTGCAATCACTGTTATTTGGCGTTGTTGTTGCTGCTGCAATCGTAGCAGTTTCTTGTGTCGCGGCTGGTTACGAAACTCCAGAAAAACTTCCGCATTCATTTAAGTTATTTTCTCTTGGTCTTGTTGTTGCTTCTGTTGAAGTTGCCTCGGCTTAGTCGCTGCCATCGCGTCTTTGCTATTATTAATGTCGGCTCAACTCCGGTTGCTGCTCGTTTTTGTTTTTCGCTTTGCTGTTGATGTTTTTCTCACTCTTTATGGAGCGCATATATTACACATATGTATGTATTGTATTGTACATACATACATACACGTATGTTCATAAGTGATATACATACGAGCTGGCAAGCAAACAAACAGCAACATTGACAACTTGCCGCCACGGCAAGCAGCAAAAAGCACTACCGCAACTGCCACATGAGTTTTTGAGCGCGACTTCTCGGTGACAGCGGCTACGGCTCTGGCTTTGGCTTTGGCTCTGATTCGTCTGCAATAATCATTGGTAGCCAAATAAAGTTAACTTATTGGAGATTACATACAAATATATCAATATGTCGGTATGTTTGGTGTATAAATTTAAACATTTTTCATTATGGACTAACCTAAGGGTGCCCAGAGTTTGAGTCCTGGTTCGAGCTATGTCCAACATTTTTATATTTTCATCTTTCTGTATTTCTGGCATGAAATAAATAGCTCCTCATGTAAATACATCGGCCGTTCGGAGGGGAAGGAGTTCAGCCAAATATTGCTTCAGCGATTACAACACCAATTAATTTAAAAAAAAAATAAAAAATTATTGTGTCAGGAGGTGATCATCGCGAGACGCAAAATTTATATGAAAATCTATTAGCAGGAGATTTTAAACGACAAAGTATGAAATTTTTAAACAAGATCAAATGGGCTGCCTGTGTATTATATCTATGAACTTTATCTCCCTTTTTCTACGTAGAACGTAGAACTTCCCCCTAAAGTTCCGTTCGCGACAACCGATCACCCTTTACGTATTGCCTACGTAACGTGTTATGTGGTAGGGACTGTGATGCCGTGAGGAGAATCTGCTCTCATGGGCGGAGGATGTTTTGTATTTGCAATAGCTTTCCCGCAGCCTCTCCCCTTCATCATCATCAGCGTTGAGCGAGTAGATATCACCAAGACACCATTGAAATCGTGCCTCTATGGCCTTCGATTGAAAACTCGCACGAAATGGAAGGGTTTCGTTCCAGAACAATAGTGATATTACCTTAAAAATCACAATTCTTATATGGCCTATGGGAAATTTAGGCCCTCGGAGCATGGGCCATAGGTATTGACTGCTTTTTAAAGGGCCTTTTTAATTATAACGACAGTTATCGCTGACGAACTGAACTAAATTCAATTTTCGGTAAGAAAAACCTTTTGTGTTAACTATTAACAGGTCCCAAAGTAAACCTCATGCGACCCATATCCAACTGTGCCATAGCGCTCCGGATCTCCTCAAATATAATTTTTTGCGGCCATAAAGTAGAAAATGAAATACCGTTTCCAAGCAAGCTTTGGGCCCAAAATATGTTAAATGGATTATGTTTCTTCCAAATTAGATAAATCAATAAAATCTTCAGTATATGGGAATTCATCTTCAGTATTTTCAAAATATTGGTCTACATCTCAACGAAGGTTAGTAGTTACTCGAAGTCAAATTAAGTTTGTAAACCGACAGTTTTATGGAGAATATCAAACGAGTCCAATTCTTCTGTCATTGTTGTTGGTATCAATACCCACCATGGATGAAGTTACCTTCGACATGCAAGTTATGAGTAGTGGAAGCCGAGTTGCGAGTGCGATGACCGTTTGTGTGATGAAAGGAGATATTTCGTCTTGCTCTCATTCACAACCAGACCAATACGTTTATCCTTATCCAGTCTCGGGGCGGTTGATGCCATATCATTCCTTCTCTCAGCTCAGCAGGTCGTACTAATTTCTTCATCAATAAATTAAGATAATCACTCGATAAGGAATCACCCATCTGATATGATTAGTCGGTCAAAATGTGATCAACTGAAGTCTTGAACTCGCTCAAGATCGTTTTCGTTTATCGAAATGACGATTTCGGATAGTTGCAAATGAAATCCCGCTCTTCTCGATGTTAATTTGGATGGATTTAGCTCATGTTTTCACGGCCTTCTTGTCTTGGTAATTAATGAGGGTCTGTCAGCTTTGTAGCAACGACTTCATTTCCATTTGAGTTTGACGGTAATACAATGAAGGATAAACCTTTGAAATTCCTTTACCCAGCGCAAGCTTACGTCAGCCGATTAAGCCGCTTTTAAGTAGTTTTAGTGTGACCGATCTTGTATGTGAGAAATTAATCTCCACCTACTTCTCGGATTCGATTTTCTACTTTAAAAAAGAGTCTTTCTGCGAGACGCGGTAGACTGCGAAACGCACACTGAATTTGATTAGTTTAATACGTAGTATAAATGTACGTGTATGTACTATCTATGCACATATGTACATATACGGATGTTGCCTTTATTTTTGTTGTAAAACACGCATATCAATCTTTATCAATAAGATGAGCTGCAGGGAAAGAGGAATCAACTTCCAAAACTGGCCAAATTTAATACACATTGAAAAACCCACGATTCTTACGATAAACTAACCGTTACATGGTAGTAAGGCCAAAGATACAAGCACATACCGTTATAAATTGAAGCGAACAGCAGAATTCGCTGTCATTGTCAAAGACCGATGCCGATAAGTGAATCACTGTCAGCAGCACATCGAACACACCGCACCAATGTTGTCCCACAAAAAAGCAACAAAAATCGGAGTCGCCCACTGGTGCATGGCACGATTCTTCGCACACATACACACATACATACATATGTATGTAGTAAAGGCAATAAAAACCGATAAACGGAGTACCGTAAGGTGGCTCGAGGAAGAAGAAGAGAGTTGTTGGCCAAACAAGAAAGCAAAACAAAATGAAAACACATAAAAAGAAACAACTCAACAATCAAAACAAATACAAAGCCACCTAAGCTTGCGCTCATTTTGGGGCCATTGATGCAGGCAAGCCGCGTACGACAAGTCAACAAGATGAACCTGTGAAGCGAAAGAAAGCTAAAAACGAGTAAATAAAATCAACGAAAGAAAGGCAGGCTGTTGTTGGGCGACAGTGAGAAACGTTTTCTGCTTTAAGGAGCTATGCGCTGAGGAGAGGGCAAACGAAGCACAGACCAACGGTGGTTTTACTTGTAGCCAAGTTACTGGCGATTGGGGGAGATCGGAAGAAGAGAAGCCAACGCAATAGGTGACAGCGAATGGTGGACAACGAGCAACGGGATATTATACAACCGCAGCATGTGTAAGGCACTCTTGACCGAGTTTTCAAAAGCCGGATTAACGGTATATGGGCAAGAACGAGTGTTGTTGCCTTCACATACGTCATTTAATGGACGCAAATACAGTTAGAACATTAACTGCAAGAGCAAAGAATAATATAATATTTGTGCCAGAGTTGAATAGAATAAATAAAACAAAATGGAAATAAAATTAAAATAAATAGAAATGTGAAATAAATAAATAAAAAAGTAAAATGACATTAAAATAAAAAAAAATTAAATATATCTAAATTAGAATAAACCAAAATAGGATAAATAAAAAATAAAAATTTGAAAAAAGTAAAACAAAAAACATTGAAATTAAAATAAATATAAGGATATTAAATTAAATTAGAAAAAAACTAAAATAGGGTAAAATAAATTAGCAAATTCAAAAAAAAAAAATAAAATGAAAATAAAAAATATATATATAATTAAATACGAAATTAAATGTGAAGCTAAATACAGAAAAGACAGATACTGAAAATATTTCAAGAATAAAAAATTAATTACGTATTATTAACGAAAAGCAGAAAATCTTCCAAAGTAAAAACAAAGGTATAAATCCAGCAGCTGTTTAGAGGCGACTTAGAAACAAATTTCGGCGTTTTGTAACTGCTGTGGCGGTTTCCGGCCGAGCTCCTCCTACAAATTGTGGTTTTGTGTCTTGATGTTTTTCTAACAGTTCATTCTATATGAAGTTTATACTAAGCCGCCTCCGAACGGCTGATAGTTATTTGTGGGGAGGCTTTTTTTCATGTCAGAAATACACTCATTACCTGCCGTGGGGCGAGCGCAATTAGAAACTTAAGCTTATTTTTTTATTTAAATTAATTTTCTTTTGGATGGTCGCACGGGAATTTGAGCCCGAGTCTTCCGAATGGCACCCAATGCTAACCACTCGGCTACCGCGGCCGGCTCCAAGTTCAAGAAGTTCAATTTCTTCATTGCTTGTAAATTGTATGTATATGTATGTATAAATAAATAAAATAAATAATTATACTGGCATTGTTAGCTTTTAATGTGTGATTATATTTGTGTAGTGGCAGATCAGAGTAACAAAGTAATAAACATGCATATTTGCGGTTATAAGTACAATTCAAATGGTCTTCAATGGAAATACTATATAAATCGCTGTATTATCTTAAATGCAAGCCGCGAACGAATCGTTCTACAAATGTGTTTTAGCCAAGGCCACAATTGGTGCAGCAGTTGGTATCTCTGGGAAGACGCATGCGCTAGCGGCAATATCAATATGGGTATATTTGATGGGCAAGTTTGATTCCAAGCCATGCTTATCCAAGCCGGTGACTTGAATGAGGAAAGCGGCCGGTATCTAGTAAAAAAAAAAAGAATGTGATTGAAGTAAGTTTATATTTTATAGCTTCAAAAGTATTTACCTGATGTCCTCTTGGAGTGCGAGTCGATGGAGCATTGTTGGCTTGCACAATGTCTTCGCCGATCACTTTACCTTTGTTGAAATCAAAATCGTCTGGACGCAATACAGATACTTCGAACGGCTCACCAAAGGACTGACCAGTCTCTTGCAACAAACGAGCATGTCCCGCCTTTTGTGCCACACTATTGTCAATGGCAATCGAATAACCATCTCCAGCTGAAATACAAGCATGGCCAGTCAGCGTTGCGATGGTGAAGAGATGTGGATCGGGCAATTGGCGCTCGATGGCGATCTCCTTCATGCGGCACAAAGCATCCGCCATGCACATGCGTCCCTCGGCATCAGTATTGCCAACACGTATGCGTACACCGGCACGTGAAGTGTGAATCTCATCGGAGACGTAAGACTCCTCGCCCACGGAATTACGCACCATGCAAAGGGCAGCAATGACATGCACATCGGCAGGCTTTTGCTCATTGACAATCTGTAAAAGAAGTTCGGTTGTAATTGCAAAAAAAAGAAACAATTATGAAATGTTGGTGAGATAAATTCACCTGCATGAAACCAGCAACAGCCGCGGCACCACACTTGTCACGCGACATGCCAGCCATCACGCCGCCGGCTTTGATGTCAGCACCACCAGTGTCATAGGTGACACCTTTACCGACCAGCATCAGCGTCTTGCGCGCCGGCTTTGGTGGCACATACTCCAGAAAGATGATGCGACCACGATGTCGGCTAACTTGATTTGCAGCACGATTGACAGCGGCAAAAAGTGGATAGTCTTTCTGCAAAACGTCCAAATCACTAATCACTTCCTTCTTCAGCGAGGAGAGTACATTGTTAACGTAGTCTTCTACGCGCGGTGGCGCCATACGTTCTGGATCGCCAACACCTACAAGTGAACAAATAAGAAGCATAAAGGTTACAATTAGTTGCATACTTTTAGGCGACTCTATACGGAAATATGAATGCGTTGGAGCAGCATTGCCAGTTCGTAAAGTGCTGAGCGAGCAGTATTCAATGCGAACACAATTTAAATAAACGTTTGTTATGAAGTATAAAACCGATATAACCGTGGATTTGGTATATCTGTACATGTATGTGAAATGAAAGCCGGAAAAAGAGCAAAATGCTGTTTACTCACCAATATCGCGTGCAACCATACGACCGGACTCCAAAACCAGAGCTTCCTTGATAATATCCTCAGCTCTTGGCGTTTCAATGAGTAGTGATAACTGTGCAATACGCTTCGCCTGTTCAGGCACATCTTCCCGCAGTTGGATTGGCTGTAAGTAAAAATCATTATTTAGTATGCCTTGAAATTACAAAAAAAAAAAAATTATATCTCAACATACAACATATAATTGATCCAAAGCACCCAGAACAGTGCAAAGTTCAGCATTCGCAAAGCGTTTGCTCGCTGGCACCAGCAGCAAGGGGGACTTGAAGCCAGCCTGTTGAGTTAAAGGAAACAGTTGATAGTGACAAGCCGAACATAAAAAAAAATATATTTTTTTTTTAATTGCAAATATTTTGATATATTTCATAGATTTTTTTTTAACAAATTGATCTCACCTTGATTGCGCGCTCCAAAGACTTGGCTGCCGCTTTTTGATACGTACGCACATCGTGATAATCACTCAACTCCTGAATGGGTGAATAAACCACGGGCAAGTTCAATTGCTGCGATTTAAAGCAGGAGACAACACTATCAAAAGCCTTATCAAACGCACGACATTCACCGAACTGTTCCACCAACTCTGGTGGCACTTGACGATCGATGATACAGAGTACATCACAGCTGGACTTTTGTATCAGCTTGGCGACTTTTACGCTGCAAGGCAACAGTCTAAAGACGGCGGAAAAAAACAGAAAAAGAAATTTTATTCAATTAGTCTCTGCTGTATTTTGAAGTTCAAGGTAAATAAAATTTAAAAGCTAACAAAAGAATTGCGTATGTACATACACATGCACTCTCACTTATGCCAGAAATTAATATGTGCAATATTTATTCAACGCATAAACACAACAATCAGCATCTTGCTGTTGTTGTAAAATGTACCAATTACATTCTAAAGCAATTGAAATTAAATGCTTTGTTGCATTCGCTCATTTCCTCATCTGTGTTGTTGCTGTATAAAAGTTATAAACAATAAAACTCTGTCAACCCTGTCACACATATGTACATACATATGTATGTAGATGTATGTTTATGTACATATGCATTTATTTCTCTCAGATAACTGTGCTAACTAATATTTATATGTAATTTATAGCAATTGATATGCAGCTGATTGCATTATCAGTACGAAAAGGAGGCGTACAAAAAATATTCACATATCGAACAAACATATGTATATGTACATACATATGTACATATATAAAAACAGGATTTGTGTAAGTTTTTGCGAAATAAATTTAAGGTTAAGTTTTGCTTTAATTTATTTTATTTAAATTCAAAAGCGCACACCTTATATAATTACTTGAAATCTTCTATTTATAACGCCTGAATGTATCTTTATGTCTGCAGCAAGTTAATTTAATTACTTACATGCGTACGCAAAAAAATTTTTATGGTAATTCGTTTAGTACGATAAGTGGCAAAGCTAAAAATATCAATATCAAGAGTTATTTCAAAATACTAAGCGCGCGAAGGAAATTGAGAAAACTAACTACACTTACATATTAAATATACAAACATACATATATAAATATGAAAATTTAATGCTTGAAATCAATTTTTTAATTTATGATTTCAGAAAACTCTTTAAAGTTGTTTGTATTATTTTTTTGATTTACAGTTAACTGATTAGTATTAATCTAATCTACAGTTAACCCTCCGCTAGTAACACAATCAAATAAGAAAGCTATGAAAATGCCTTCCAAATATCTAACCACGGTTCCAGGCGTCTATGTATGTATGAATGCATATAATTTAAGTTTCAGTGGTTAACCTGTTTTCCATGATAAACACTTACGAAGGATTCGATTTGTGTTTCTCAATATAGTGAGTTAGACATTTTTTCCTGACCGGAGAGCTGCTACGTTTACGATAAGCTGATATTTTATACGACATACAAAGAAATGTCGTTTATATTTCTTTTTATAATATTAAGTGTGTCAAATGTTTTTTTCAATCCTTTGTTTTAGTTTTATTAAGATCACAAAAAAAAGCATGGAAACTTTGCTTTTTGCAGGTACCTACATTTTTGTTTTAAATCATGACGAGTAGTACTTATTTATTTTTTGTTGTACATTGTACGAACTACCGCCGCTGATAGTTTCTAAACAAAAGGCAGTAAATACTTAGTAAGCGTATATAGATAGCAAAAATCTCTCGCACATATGTACATATGTAAATGAGGAAATATCGCGAAGGTGTATCTCACATATGTATTTATACTACGCAAATGTATATGTATAAACTCACAGGCATCTTGCTAATTAAAATATCAAAGCACGACACAACTTATAAAAGCATCAAATCATCATATGGGCCGTGTTTGTTTTATTTAAATAATAATAATAAAGACAATAGGAAATTTAAATTGCACCTATAGGACCTATACACGTATACTTCCTTCACTATTTTAATACAATTAAAAGCTTAAATAAAGTATCCAATATAATAAGTACCACATAATTATTTGTAACTATTGTTGTATTGAATTATAGCCACTTACGTCTCAACAACCATCGCGAACTGTTTATGTGTGTGTATATAAATAATCACGGAAAATAATTATAAAATTTAGCCAACCAACAACGGCAACGACTGTTGCCTAACTGAATATTTCAATACAACTTTCACATGATTGTTCCAGCGCAAGCACAAAACCAGACTTCGTGTAGATTATTTTGTTTTTGTTTTGTTTTATGATGTTGGTTTATCTACCGCTTGTAAAGTTTACTTGCCAAGTGATAAGGGAAAATACCTAATTATTTATTATTTCGTATCTAACTACGAGCACATATGCATACGTTTGTAGATATTTTCTTACAGCTATTTTGGAATGTACTAAATAATAGATTTTAAAATTACCGTTCAATTCCCATGGCGGCAGCAAACGTTTTACTTTAAGCTGCTATGTTTTCAAGTTCCAACGGATCACTTGTGTGTTGGTGTCGTGATGCTTTGCAATGTCTAAATTATAGAAACAAATAAAGCAGTATTTGTAGCCGATTTGTGATGATTAGATCTGTTCAAATCAAATATAATATTCAATACGCGAGTCTCACTGAAGCGTCCGGTTAATGTGAGGTTTTTTTTATATTAATCCGCTCGGCCCTTCTTACAATTAAACTATGAAGTGACTAATGAAAGAAGTGATAAATGCGGGCTTATCAGTTGAACTGGCTTTTGGTAAGTCGTAGCCAAAGCACACCGCTAATGAGTGGCTTCCGAATTTTGTTACACTTTTGATTTACATGCACAGCACGTATAAACTTTGCACTATCCACTGCTCACCTAGAGCTAAGTCTACGATGAGTAAGTCGTGTTTCTGAGAATAAGTGCAATTTGGGAAATAAATAAATTTTTGCACGTCTCTTTTTCCACTAAACTAAATTTGCCGGCAAAGCAAAACACGCTGCTAGATGTACATATTAACGACGATCAGCTGTTGAGAACAGTGTTGCAAAATTCACGCCCCCTTTCGACAAAGCGTGCATTAACATAAAAAGCACATAAGAACCTTTTTCTGATTTAGAATGATTTTAATGAATTGCAAAGAGAAACCACATTTATCACATACACCTATTCGGACATTCATATATTTACAAATTATTTACACTCCAGTTATATAGTTACGTATATCGTCAATTAATTGTGGTAGTTCTTTTGCGTCAAGCAAAATAACTTTACGATAAGGTGTTAGCGTAGCATCCCCTTCCAGCCAATCTCCGCTCATGCCAACATCACATTCATCCACTACAGAATATTCAAAGGAATTAACAGCTTTAGCGCAAATCACCTCCTCTTCAGCATTAGTGTATGTATCCTCAACAGGTTTGCCCTTACGTGCCTCTTTGCGATATATTTTTACAATCATAATAAAGTAACTAAAATTAAACTTCATTCCCTTCTGTTTAGCCGTTTGCACTTCCTTATGTAAATTTTCTAGCAGTGGAATTGAAATTTGCGCTGGTATATTTATAAAACGTTCGTTGATGAGAAAGCCCACTGGTCGTCCTTCGTTTCCTAGCACATCGCGAAAATGTGTTAAGACAGCGTCTGTAGCATGTTTCTCCGCACGTTGTATTATATATCCACGTAATTGTTCTATGCAAGCAATGTCTTTTTTGGCTGTCATATTGATAACAGTCGTAATACCAAATATTGTTCCCTCCTCCACCATGTCATCATCCATATCACTCTCTGCACCATCCAATTCGCATTGGCAAATTACACTTCCTACATAGTTCTGACCTTAATAATTATACAATTAACAATGTTATAGACAAGAATTTTAAACATATATAAATATATATGAATGTGCGTACCAATTATTAAATCTGCCATTTGCACAGTGTTGATCGGCGCTCGCAGGAATACACGTTGTAGCAGTTGGGAAATTCCATGACAGTCGGGATCACTGGGCGCGCGTCCTTCAAAATCGATTTCGACTTCCTTAAAACAAATTACTTTTAGCAATATTGAGGGGAGCGGAAGCTATCTATGCAATACAAACCTCGTTACCGGTATAGGCGTCGGGATGTGGTTCATCATCGTCGTCTTCACTTGAACTTTCAGACTCATCGCCAGCTGGATCTTCTTCCATGGCATTTAGGTTTTTCTTTTTATTAGCAGACATTTCCAATCGTAAAGAAAACCTAGATTAAGTTAATTGTTTATTTTACTCTTGCTGCCCTAACAAACTTTAATCAGCTGATGGAAATGCACGTGTTGCTACATTTTTGCCGCAGTGAACACAGTCAACTCAGTGTTGCATATGAAGATAATTTCGGAGATTGTGTTTAAGTGAAAGTTTCTGTAACAGATAAATTTTATTAATGCGATTCATTTCTCTTTATATTTTGATAATATGTTAACATTGTTAACACCTCGTACATTTGAAAAAAAAAATACCTTAAGATCCCTTGAGCTTTGCCATAGTTGTCATCTGTACTTGGCAGCCCTTATCTCAGTATGAAATTGACATTTAAGTTTGTATGCAGAATCTAAAGAAAGATATAAGATTTGTATTGTTTTTATTTTCAACTGAAAGCATGCATACGGATTTATCGCCACATCTGCATACATCGGAGTGCAATTCATTAATCGAGCAACTAAATAATTGTCATTCAGAAGTAAACAAATTCTTCATATCAGCTTTACACAATTGTTTACAGCTTATATAATAACTCTTTTCCATCTCTTTTCAGAACAAGTTCGCCAAATTTCTAGGTGTCTGCAACGACATTGATTCCCTATTAGTGAAGTGTTTGAAAAGAGAACGTCAAGCGCGAGCTGCAGCGAATCGTGCTAAAGCCGCCGACCGACAAGCACGCTTGAGGGAGCGTCTGCTTTCTCAATAAACATTTTCATTTACCATCTAAAAACAGCAAAACTAAAATACCATGTTGACCAGCCCAGAAGATCCACTGTTACCATACTACTATAATCATGTACCCGAAGTTATTGCTGGTGTAGAAGTTCCGTCAATAATAGAAGATTGGGTTGAAAATTACCCCAGTGTTGTGGATCGTTTCTTCACACGTTACTATTACATTAAAGAAAGCCCAGAACCAGCACCCTATCAAGTTCTTTTCCATTCAAATCGTGTGTGTTTGATTGGTCTGGCGCCCGAACATCCAGCATTTGAAGCAGGTATCAAATCGTTCTCATTTGATATTGGCAACACGGATCGTAGCAAGAATACCGTTAAAGGCAAAGGTAAGAAGGGCGGTATGGTGCTACAGCATGACTCTACATTAGCCATATTGACCACGCAGCAAGATAAGACCTATAAAATACCCAGTTGTGTTCAAAGTAAATTAATTGAAGTAAATACAATGTGGGTTGAAGAACCGAACCGCTTAAAGACAGCCGGTGAAGGGGAAGGCTATGTGGCTATTGTACTACCGAAACCAGAAGATTGCGCAAATATTAAAAGCAGCCTGCTAACACAAGCGCAATACAATGAAAAATGGGCTGCAATTACGGCAAACTTCGGAAAGAAAAGTGATGACGGTGAAGAGGGTTTGGTTGAGAAGAACGAAGAGATTGGCACTATAGAATCTGCTGTTGCGGTTGCGTCAAAAACAGATTAACATTAATATTGTGCTATTGCTTTTTTTAATAAAACTTCTCCACTCAAATACGTATTTATATTACTAATGTTTATGGTGTGAATTTAAATAAAATTTAATTGTATAATTTTGATATGCAGAATAAATATTTTTGAGTTCTTCAACTGACGAAATGTCAAGCTTACTGTTTGCTATTAATTATGATAATTTAGTTTAAGCTTTTCTAAAGTTAGAAGAAGAAGAAAGTTATTTAAAATTTTGGAATTTATCGTAGCAAAAAAGACGTCGGAGTAGAATAATCATCTTATCTTCCTTATCTATTTAATGAAACTTTCATTTGGTGTTTTCTAAGTTGTTTTTATTTGGTGTTACAATTCAGAGTATCAATTTGTCCAACATTACATTTGAATGTAGATGTGCATGTAAGCTCACTATCTTAGTTTATTGTCATATTGCTTACATATTGATATTAGAAATTTATGTTTGTTATATAAAAATTATGTAACGTCTTCACTGTTTGTTTTTCACTCTTTTTGTTGCATTTTTTTTATTAAATTTTTTACATTTTTCTCATTCAAATAAAAAAGAAAACTTATTAACTATGACGGGGTCTAAATTCACTATGCTTTTGGTGCAGTGCAGTGATTGTAGTTAAAATTATTTTTATTAAATATATTTTTTTCTTTAAGTTTATTATTTTTATTACTTTTTTTTTTAATAACACGCAAACTTATAGTAAGGCTCCCTCAACTGGTAGTGAAGAAAACGGATAACATATTTAGTACAAGGTTACATATTGTCGGAGATACATATATACGTACAAATCGTTGGGCTGTGCACAATTAACAGTTACAGAACAAATTTATAATTAATTTAAAAAATAAATAAATGCCTTCAATGGTTGTGCAAGGTCTTTGTTGGTTTTGCTTGTGAAAAATTAAAGTTTCGTTTTGAATTCTGAATTTTCCTTGTTTAGAATTTGGGAAAAGTTTGGTGGTTCGCAAATTTAATGTTTAGTATTAGTGGTGTAATTAATTTATGTTTTATTTATTTTAGTCATCTCCCTCTATAATCCTGATTTTGAACCCAATGCTGGGGCGCAATTGGGCTTTCTATACATAGTTGTTCTCTGTCCCTCCCACTCGTTACAGTAATTAGTATATATTTGTCTCTCTCTCTCTCTAATTTCCCTAAATATCTTTTCGGTCTTCACTGTGTTCCAGATCTTTGTATTTAAGGAATCTCGATTGATAGTTTTATTATTTGAGTATTTTGACGTACACCGTTAGGTGACACGGTTTCAGCAAATTTGATTGCTTCGCTGTTAGCTCGCTCACTCTCTCTCACTTTGTAAATTATTTCTAATGTAATGTCTCTCTCTCTTAGTCGGAAAATTTTGTAAAATTTCGGCAATTTATTAGTAATCAATTATTGTTTATCTCTTCTTTCAATTGTTTGTTTGTTTTTGTTTTCATTGTTGTTTTCTTTTCGAAAACTCATCTACATATTTCGTTTGCACAAGCACATGTCTGTATGTATGTTTGTAGGTGGTTGTTTCTTTCTGCTTTTGTCCGGTGCTTTTAGGTTGTTCCTTCTTCTAATTTAAGTGCATTATTTGTGGACAACTTTCAGTGCAGTCTAAAAGGTTTGATTAACTCAACTTTTGGTGCTCTTGCCATGGCCCTTTCCTTGTCCACCAGCAGCCGTAGCTTCCTTGCTCTCAATGTTGGTCAGCGCCGCTTCGGCCATCTTCTTGTATTTACCAGCTAACTCGGGCAGATCGTAGGCAATCGCCACATCCAATTTGGTAATGGGGCAACCGCGGAAGTATGTGCAGGTCTCAGAGAGTTTCTTGAACTCATACAGAGGATTGAGACGGAAGAAGTCACGATACACTTCCGGATCTGGTAAATCGTAGCGCGAAATGTTCGTCAGTGTTGAAAGGCCCTCGTAAATGTGGTAGTTCTGTGGGTGATTGATAATCTCGTCGGCGATGCGTTTCTTATTGCCGAAGAGGGTCTTGTGATTATAGTATGTATTTAGATAGCAATCCACCATTTTGGCATGATTGCGAACGCGCACCTATAAGCGAGGATGGGAGAGTTGAAGGAGCACAAATTAAAATCAAATACCTTTTTGTTGTATTTGCTCAAATACTTACAGCGAAACGACGCGCACTGGCAATTTTATGTTCGATCCTCTTGTCCACAGCGGTGCGCAAATCACGTAAGAATGCGCGCTCTTGCGCCAACAGCAGACGTGCCGGAGCACCCTCTTGATACGGGTGTGACCACAATGAGCTGGTGTACACTAATGGCGGTTGTGCGGAGGACATTAGTGGCGAGATATTCCATATGAGTGCGCTTTGTACGCGCAAGAGTTCCTCCGGTTTCACGGTATCAGCTTTGTTCAGCACAATGCGTGTTTGATATTCACGTCCCTTCAGTTGATCCAATATAGCCTCAGTCTCGGGGCCAACATCAAGTTTGGCTGGATCGTAGACGAGGAATATGATATCGGCACGATCGATAAACCACTGACAGGCGTCGTTGAAGGGGAAAAGACGAGAGACTTGTTTGCGCACCTCCAAAATACCGGGGATTTCTACGATGTTGACCTGCAAGAAAAATTTAGAGTTTCTTTTATTATATTTTTAGTGCAACGGAAAGTTAGGTTAGAGATTAAGAGGGTTCAAAAAGATCTAAAAAAACATACTAGAAATGTTAAATTAATATTTTTCGACGGGATGGTTACATACTATGAGATGATACCCCGGTGGGTTAGGGGCTCAAGAATTTACCCGCGGTAAGGCATGCCTGTCGTAAGAGGCGACTAAAATCCAATAGTTCCCGCGACAGTCCGGCCAAGGACTGTCACTCCCGCAACATTCCCCAAAAAGTTCTTTGGGAAATAATTTTGCGGTTACAACAACAACAACAACAACAACAACAACATACTATGAGATGATTGAATATGAACACACGTTTAGAAAAAAGTTTCAGAAATATTTCGAAACTGAACTGTGCACTTTGAAAGCATCTAGGCACTTCCGTGTATTTCAAAATTCATTTAAGCGATCGAAACATTGAGATAAGTGCAATGCGAGAATATTTCATTTGTTTACTTTCTCAAAATAGATCCCCAGAATGCTGAAAACTCTTTAAGTGCAATAAATGCAAGAAACTCAAACGAACGAGTGAGACACTTCAGCTTTAGTGTCGAGTGGAAGTGAGAGGCGATCCTCTCTTCTCTCTTCTCAAACACATCACATTTCACTCATAATTTTGAATTGAGCGTTCGGAAAGCTCAACAGCTGTGAGTGAGCGTGTGAGTGATCGCGTTGCTTTGAGCTGAAATTATTTGGTGGTTCTTGTACATACACAATTCTGCATACATACAATATTTGATTAAAAATATACATACATACATATATATATATACATATGAGCATACGTAGAAATGATGCACATCAAATGCAATTACATTTACATCGAGGCGCATGTATAGGCGTTGCATTAAATTTAGCTTGCGCATTTCTCTCTAAAAATGATGCTAAAAATAATTTCATTTAATAAACAAAAACAAGCGACCACTCAACAAACACAAACACCGCTACAACGTAAATGCCTTCGTTGATTCTTTATCTTTTTTAATTGTAGTTTTTCTCCACATTTTCGGTTGCCAAGAAATGGTCAGTTAAGAGCGTCGTTTCGAGGTCGACGCGAGGAGAATTATTTATTCATAAAAATATTTTCTGCGACATTGACGTCACCACACACGCATACAACAGACTTTGCTGACTGCCCTCCGTAGCCCTCCTGAAGCGGACGTGATTAGTTTGCTTACACTCACCTTTTCCAACAATTTGTTGGGCATTTTCAATCCACGCAGACGTTCTTCCAAGCCCTCACCGAATTTTTGCAAGCCAGAGAAGGTGTAGTCGGCGGCAAGTTGTGTGCCGTCGAGCACCTCGGTCTCGTTACCCCATGTTAGAATGTTGAAGTAGGCCGGCGAAGGTTCGGCGCCTACAAGCCCAAGACAAATTAAGAACAAGAGTATAATTTTTTAGTGTGCTAAGCTCTTACCTGATCTCAGCGAATGCGGTGTGTACTCATTGCCTGTGAGGTAGTTGATAATGGTTGATTTTCCACCCGACCATGGACCCATAAACAGCACCAATGGCTTGGAGAAAATTTCCGGATCACCAAAGTGACGGTTACTCAAGTCTCGATATTTGTAGAGAGTTTCCAATGGTTTAATGGCGCTCTCGTAGATACGTTTGATGTCGCGCAAAATGATTTCGGCCACATTATCCACGGCCTTCTCACGTGCATTGAATTCATCGTTCAATTGTAAAAGCTCGGTAATGTGGGAGCGACTACGTAGCTGCGCAGGTATTTCACCCTCCTGCGAAGAAATGTAGAAAAAAGATATTGAAAATTGTCTTTCGTTTCGAAATTGTTTTCTCATAAGCAACTCCTCTCTGTTTTAGTACTCCTCTCACTTACCCACAACAACTCATCTTCTGGTTTAGTGTCATCTTCTTTGCTGTCATCCTCTTCGCCATCTTTGTCGTCCTGCTCATTCGGAATACCATCGCCATCACGGTCAGTGTCACGCTCGTTCGGTATGCCGTCGCCATCGATGTCGTCGTCCTTATGATCGGGCACGCCATCACCATCTTTGTCTTCGTCCTCATGATCTGGTATGCCATCACCGTCAATATCACCAGGCTTTTCTTGGCTGGGCTCATCTTGCTCCTCGCCAGCTTCAACGGAGGCCGGTTCGGCGCCAACATCACGCTTCTGTCGTTTCGCCGCCTCTTCGGCTTCGATGCTGTCCTCATCATGCATATTCGGCACACCGTCACCATCTACATCACGATCGTGCAAATTGGGTATACCATCACCGTCCATATCGTCATCCACCTCGTTGAGCTTGAGATCACCATCAATGTCGGTGTCATCATCATTGGGTATGCCATCGCCATCAATATCCAAACTCTTCGGTTCCTCATCGTTGGGCATACCATCGCCATCCACATCGTGGTCACGTTCATTTGGTATACCATCGCCATCTATATCGACATCGTCATGATTAAGCACGCCATCACCGTCAATGTCTCTATCCGCTTCGTTAGGCTCGCCGTCCCCATCAATGTCGTTGTCTTGCTCATTGGCTACGCCATCGCCATCGATGTCATCGTCCTGTTCATTTTTAACGCCATCACCGTCAATGTCTTCATCACTCTCATTTGGTACGCCATCGCCGTCGATGTCCGTGTCCTCTTCATTCGATACTCCATCGCCGTCAATGTCATCGTCATCTTTGTTTGGTATGCCATCACCATCCAGATCATTATCCTCATCATTTGGTATGCCATCACCATCGATATCATCGTCTTCATCATTTGGTATGCCATCACCATCCAGGTCATCATCCTTATCATTTGGTATGCCATCACCATCGACATCTTCATCTTCATCATTTGGTATACCATCACCATCAATATCACTGTCTTGATCATTTGGTATGCCATCGCCATCGATGTCCTCATCTTGGCTATTTGGTATACCATCACCATCGATGTCATCATCTTGATCGTTGGGTATGCCGTCACCATCGATATCATCGTCCTGATCATTTGGTATGCCATCACCGTCAATATCATCATCTTCTTCATTGGGTATGCCATCACCATCTAGATCATTATCATTGGCATTGCTTACGCCATCACCATCAATGTCCTTATCGACAACATTCGGCACACCATCACCGTCAAGATCATGATCAACCACATTTGGTACTCCATCACCATCGATGTCGCGATCGTCAACGTTCAACACACCATCACCATCCATGTCTGCATCGCGATCATTTGGTATCACATCACCATCGATGTCCGGGTCGTCCTCATTGAGTAGACCATCACCGTCCATATCGTCGTCTTGTTCATTTGGTTTGTTGTCACCGTCAATATCCGTGTCATCTTCATTCCGTATGCCATCGCCATCGATGTCGATGGCTTTATCTCTTTCTTCCACAGATTCGTCATCGGTTATCTCAACAGTTTCCTTCTCATCGCCAGCCGGTTGATCGGATTGCATTTCACCAGAATCTGTGCCATTGTCGTCGTGTTCTTTATTCGTTGATATAGGGTCGGCATTGAGGATATCACCTGCCTCTGTTCGAGAGGCGAGTGAGGGAAATAAATAAATATGAAAGACGAAAAGTCAATAAACAATATTATTTATGTAAAGAAAAAGAATAAAACTATTGTGATAAATGAGTGAAAAGTATGGAAATCGGAGCATATTTTCTGAGGGGCGGATATTACAGAGAGTAGTATATATATGTATATATAATATAAGGAAAACTCCGTTGTAAGCTTTTGTGGGAGATGGTAAACTGTTTATGTTTGATGTTAGCTCTGACGAAACTCGTATGGATAAATCCATATCTTAAGAAATCCTTTAAATCCATTTACTAGGAGTAAGAGAATAATATAGATCGTAAGTACTGTTCAACGTAACCTTCTCTTAAAATGATCTAGAAAAAAGCTTTTTTCATGATGAGCGCAGCGTTTGCTCTCTTCGTCAGAAACGAGATCATGGTGATTATTCTAAGCAGAGAGAGAGAGTCTAGTAATATTTAAGCTTAACAAATAATCATGACTATACGAAATATTATATATGAAAGGAAATATCTTCAATAGTGAATATTATAAAGCGTTCTTGGAGTGTTTGAAGAACGCAAGTGCTAAGAAGAGCCGTTTCATCAAGGTAACGCTCGGTAACTCGATAAATAAGATGTGATGACTCGAACTGTTCCCACATCCAGCGTTTTAACTAAATTCGGCACTCCATAGCTGCCACCTCCGAACGGCGGATGGATTTTAATGAGAAGCTTTTTTTACACCAGAAATACACGCGCAAAGCTTCACATTTCTTGCCGAGTGCTGATCGTATTAAATATAAACTTATATAATTTTAAAAGTTGGTCACTAGAGGGTTCGAGCTCAATGGACCAGGATTTATTGTACACACATATATTGGAAAAATGGATCAGTAGATAATGTTTTCGTCGCATTATCCAGAGGTGAGGCTAGAGAAATATTTTTTTTTTATATTTCACGAATGGGTAGTCAAAGGAAACTCAGATAACGGTTTGTTTCCCCTTTCTAAGGTAACTTCAACACGCTCTATTCACATGATTCGGATACACGAGTGTGTATGTATGTATGTATTTTTCTAAAAGAAATAAATGAAAAAACTCCCTGCTTTCCCTTTGCAACATTTTTCTCAGTTGTCCTAAATTATTAGCCAATACATGAATATTGACGTGTTTGACAAGTTTTATGGCCGACAAATGGCATTTGGAAAAATTAAAAATTCACTTATTTGCACACACACACACACATATGAGTAATGGATACATACCATACACCTATGTACATGCATGAACTACGCTCTGAGTGTATGGAAATTACGGTAATTTGTGAAATGTTGAATTATATTTTTATGTATTTTTAAACATTTACTTGCCGAGCTTAAGTGTACTTTTGGTTAAATGCCAAAAGAGGGAGAGCGCACAACAACAATGTCATTTGTGTTGTTTTTTATTAATGGAAAAAAGTAAAATTTATTTTGTGAATGTAAAATCTAGCTCATGGAGGACAAATGGAAAGTGGACGTGCAAACATATCTACATCTATTCATATACTGAGGGTCATTTATCACCGGACAATAGCTTTGCATGTATTTACATATATACAAAACACATACTACATATGCATACATAAATATATGTATGTGTTGGAAGCTTCACAAGCATTGACAGTTTGAGGGCTTCATACCTTTTAATGGATATTTATTTAATTGTACTTGTCAACGGCTTCAATGGCGCTCATTAATGATTACCTCAGACTAACACACCCACACACGCACACGCAGCAACACTCACCTATAACTTCGCTGGGTTCACCTGTTTTCAGTTCGTTTATCGCCCGTTCAATGTAGGGACGGCATTGGTCCTCGCTCGGTGCCACATTTGAGTCGTCGGCATTGACTAGCGCACCTGGAAGGGAGCAAAAAAATGTTCAAAAGGAGGTTAAGATATCCAAAATAAAAAGTATACCAATTAAAAAAAAGAATTTTACTTAATTTAATTTAATTAAATAAAGAATTTAAAAGAATTTAATTATAAAACAAGATAGATCAAGAAAAACGAATAAATAAAATGAATGTTAATAAAAACTAAAAAAATTCCTCATAAATTAAAAAGTAAAAATAGGAAAATTACAACAGGAGAACACTCAAGGGCCTGGAGCAATTCTAACACAGGGTACACCACTCTGCGGCAGCGTGGGTTATAAACGGGCTAAGTTGGTACTTGCACTGAGCAAAAGCGAACAACTTCCCCTGAAATGTCATCTCCACAAGCTAGGTGAAGTAGAATCGACTGAGCGCAGGGCGAGCAAATACGAGAGAGGACGAAACGATCGATCGATCTGTTCGGAAAAGTTGGGATGAGCCAACTAAACCTGCCCTTAAGTACCAACCAACTAACCGACCAAAGAAGAAATCGAAAAAAAATCTATGCAAATTTTAATAAATTTAAAAAATATTCTATAGGAATTTAAGAATAACTGCAAATTATATGAATAAATTTTGAAAGTATCAATAAGATTATTTGGTATTGAGCGAAAAAGAATTACTAAAATAGATGAAAAAGAGAAATTAAGTAAAGAGACAACTTTAAACAAAAAAAGATTTTAAAAAATTAAGTTGAGGAAAATTAGATAATAAAACAAAAATAAAAATAAAGAGAAATGTGAATATATATATATATATACATAGTATATATAACATAAAGTAGTTCAGTTAATTAATTTGTGTTAGCAAATTCGGTTTGCTTTCGGTTTGCTATCATCATTGTTGTTGCATCTTTTTCAAATATAAATTTGAATTTCATACACGTAAATAATTACATATTTACACGAAATTTTTGCGCCGTTTAGTCGCTATGCTGTGTTTTTGTTACGCAAACTTGACATTAATTTATTTTATTACCGATTAATATTAAGAATTTTATTTTTACAATACTCGCAGCGAAATGCTTGCTACACACACACGCTCACACGTCTCACACGTATGCAGGGAAAGATAATTTTTTCACAATTTTCTTAGTTTTAATCTTTTTCTTTTTTGTTTTTGTGTTGGCTTACTGCCCATTCGCCTCGCCTTTTCACTAGGCACACAGGCGCACAGCCACACACACACACACACACTCACACTTGTGCTGCGAGTATTTTTTTGTTTCCACACACTTTCTTTCACTTGTTTTTTAGCTGTCACAAATGTTTGATTTTCGTCACTTTTCTCTTACTTTTTTACGCTTTTCACGGTACGTCTGTCCGTGGCCGCAGTCTGTTCTCAAACTTTTACCCCTCTCACATACTCGCTCACTCGCTCACTCATACGCTGACATATCCAGCAGTGCGCTGAAAAATACTTTCACGGTCATCGAGGGATAAACACATGTTCTTTGAACACTTTTAGCAAATTAACAAATAAATTAATTGATTATTGCCAGTTTATGAGCTCATGAAATCACAGCTTCCATTTGCCATTGAAAAAATATTATTTGCACATTTGCCTAGCTACGTACATACATACATACTATGTTTATGCACACATTAAAATTATTTTATATTTGTCAGTTAGTTATCATCCGGTCAAGGTTTCCATAAGCCATGTGTAGGCGTCACAAGCACGCTGTGGCACCCCATTGCCCCGATGCTCAGTGGTTGGCGATAAAAAGAGGCAAAGTGAAAAGCAAAGACAAATGTTTAATATGTAATCAAATTTGCATGGAAATATATTTAACGAGTTGATAATTTATTTGGGAAAATATATATTTATTTCTCACTGAAAAATTAAATATAAACTTCCAATAAATAAATTAAAATAAAATAAAGAAGATTCTTTTCTTTAACTGACAAAAAAAAAAAACAATTAAGGAAATATTATTGCAATTATACTCGTAATCATTAAACAATAATTTTAATTTTATTCCTACAAAATGTTTATTTTTTACTTTATTTACTGCGATTAAAACCGCCAGTAAATATTACAATATCAAATCATGGGTGTGCGGTGCGTATGAGTAACAATTGAGGGCGTGAAAATATTTTTTTTTACTAAACCGACGAATTTATTGTTTATTTCTGTTTTCAAAGTAAAAATAATAGAAAAAAATATATAATAAATAATCTTAAAAAAGTAAATAAAATAAAACAACACGACACCACAAAATATTAAAAAATTAATAAGATAAAAAAGAATAAAAAAAAAACTAAATAAAATATAAAAAAAATTTAATTAATTGAATTAAAATCAAATAAATTACAAAAATAAGTTAAAAGATAAAATAAACTATATGGAATAATAAAAATTAAAATAAAATAAAATAATTAAAAAAAATTAAATAAATTTGCTTACGCGAGGAGCGCAAATCCTTGCATAACTTTGGGCGCTGGCTTATTGCTTCCTGTTATTTGACTTTTTGCGTTCTGGCATATACAAATAAATTGTTTTGCAACATAGCAATTCTCAAATGATCACCAGAGTGATACGGTTGAAGTGCGCATTGTTCGCAATGGAATTTATATTCTTAAGCTCCACCTTCTTTGACTGTCCCGCTGATTTGGCCTCAGTGAACAATGGAAATGTCGTTGCCTTTATAAGGCACACGAAATGGTTCGTTCATTTGAGAAGGTGAAGGCAGGAGTTTCAACGGTATCACAATGAGCCTATTGACCTAAGCGTGCTGGCGTTGACCAGCAGCCGCATCAACCCAACTCAACTCAAGGTCCAGCGTGTTTGGTAAGACCCTCGAACACTTTCACGGTTATTTTTTAACAACCCATATCCTCATCTTACGTTCCCCTAAACCTTTTCCCCCACCAGCTTAGAGAAAATTAAAATGGAAAATACTAAAAAAAAATTCAATAAAGTAAAACAATTTAAATGAAATTAAGAAATAAAAATAAGATAAGAGAAAATTTAAAAATTGAGATACAAAAAAAATAATATAAAATAAAATGAGTTTAATGAAACTAAATTCAATTAAATTAAATGTATTAAAATAAAAAGTAAATCAATAAATAATATCAGGTGTACAACTTTGCTAACCGCCGTTTTCCGATAGGTGGCTGTACCGGCTGAGGCTGGTTGAAATACATAGATGATAATGCCTTTAAAGTGAGTGTGGACAGTGCCTAACGAATTGTCATCGCCGTTTCAGTGACAGTTGTTCTTGTTTTCGTATTATTCACGCTCGAAAATGTCCGTTTATGTGCCTAATTCTCGCCATTTGCGGGAAGTTTTACTTTTCTGTTACAATTCGAAAAAAAAATGCAGCTGAAGCGCATCGAATGCTCTCAGAAACTTACGGTGATGCTGCTCTGAGTGAAAGAACGTGTCGGGAGTGGTTTCAACGAATATTCACGGCGCCAAGGTTATGATTTGTATTTGGTGGGATCAGCTCGGTGTGATTTACTACGAGCTCTTAAAACCGGGTGAAACCATCACAGGAGATCGCTACCGAACGCAACTGATGCGCCTTAGTCGCGCGCTAAAAGAAAAGCGGCCACAATATCAAGAGCGACATGACAAAGTCATCCTCCAACACGACAATGCTCGGCCTCACGTCGCAAAAGTGGTCAAAAAGTACCTGGAAACGCTGAAATGGGAAGTCTTGCCCCACCCGCCGTATTCCCCAGATGTCGCCCCTTCTGACTTCCACCTATTCCGTTCGATGGCACACGGCCTGGCAGATCAACATTTTCAATCCTTGAAAGAATTGGAAAAATGGATTGCTTCATGGATATCGTCAAAAGAGGACTCCTTTTTTCGAGCCGGGATCCGAAAATTGCCGAAAAAAGGGAGAAAGTTGTCGCTAGCGAAGGACAATTCTTTAAATAAAATATCTGTAAGCTCTTTTTCGCAATAAAGCTTTTAATTTTGGAAAAAAAACGGCGGAAGCAAAGTTGTACAGCTGATATAAAAAAAAAACTATATAAATATTTGAATAAAATAAAATAAAATGAAATTGATTTAATTTAAACTATATTAAACTGAGATGGACTTTTGCATAAAATAAGAATATTTTCTTCGATTATTCGTTTAAAGTTTTGCTTGAATTGTTTCGTTTCGATAAACAAACAAACTTTTTTCGGTTCGGTGGTTTTATACTCTCATATCTATGTGTATTTAGATTTTGTGTATAAGGAAAGTTTCAGTATTTTTAAAAAATGGTGGTGGTTGTTGTAGGTCATACAATTTGTCTAGTTTTTCTGGATGGAATTGCTTGGGAGAATATTTTACACAACAATTGTATTCATCATGATACTAAGCTGAGTTTTACTCTGTCCCTAGACAAAAAAAGAAGTGCCTTTGGATTATGATATTTGATGCTCACCGGCAATGAAAATATGCCAAATATGCCATTCTTCATTATTAAAGCAAATTTTTCATTGGCATTATGCCTTAAACACAAATGTGTACACTTCGACCAATACTCATATGTGCAATACCTATGTATGTATGTATGTACTATGTATATATTTAATTTTTTTTAAACATTTTTGCTCTACGTAAGTTTCTTTCTTTGAATGCTTTCTTTGCTTTTGCCTCATGGCTAAAATTAAATGATTACAAATGAGCAACGGTGAGAGCTGAGTGCGGTGGGCGCTGAGGCGTTCATCACCAACACCTTCAGCACAGCAGAAAGCAACAGCCTGTTCGTGGACATGGCAGACTGCTGTCAAAATCTTTGTCGTCTAATGCCGCCTTCAAGGATGATTTTGCTTTGCTCTTCGCTCTCTGCAAAATTGTCTTTACTCTAAGCGTTTATTTGTCAAGCAAAAACATATATTTAATTAATTGTTGTTGCTTCTCTGGTTTTTTTTTTGTTTAATTTTTTTGAATTTCGAAAGTTGTCTTTTGCCTCACAGCTTTATTGGTTAGAAACTGTTTTTTTTTTTGTTTTTCGCAAATATCACCACGTCCTCTACGCATACCACGAGAAATTCAACGACTCGACATATATCGGTCGCATTGCTGGCCTCTCTGGTCCATTCCTCAGTTGCACCCGAGAACTCGAATAGACACACTGAGTGGCCACGATCGATTCAGCGAACGAAGAACTGAAAATGGCAACACGAAAGCATCTAACACTGAAAATTATTCTTAAAATATTATATTTTCAACATTTTTCTTTTCAAAACGAAAGCAACATCGGCAAAAAGAGCCAAGAAAAATTGCATAATAAATTTGCTATGAGTACTTTCACTCGTTGTTGTTGCTGCTGTTATTGTTGTTGACGGCCGCCGGTTGTATATTATTATGATTGCTGATATTGTATTTTATTTCTTGCTTGTGCTTGGCCAATACTTTTGCTTGTGTTACATACATACATACATACGTGTATGCATATAAATAAGCATATGAATTCTCTGACGGTGTTGGGTGCGGTGTGTTTGGACGTCGAGGGGCTGATGTCGGTGGCTGAGTTGACTACCAGCGCGTTCACAAGCAACCTCATTGTTGTTGTTGCACCAGCTATTGCTTTTAGCTAGGGTGTTGCGCGTTAAAGGCGTACAATTTTAGCGACAGCGACAAAATTTTGTGTGTTGGCCTTTGCCTACAAAAAAATATTATATAATTTTTCTGCGAAAATTTTTCCGTCGAATTTGCACTGCATTACTTTTGAACTGAACTTTATTTATTTTATCATCGAAAAACATTTAGCAGAGTTCAAGATTTTATTGTTTTTATTTTTTTTTCTAATTGTAATTTTAATTTTATTTAAATTTCGCAATCCTTAGTGTCTGGAATGTCCTCAATCCGATGCAACAACAATGATACACACTTTGAGCAAGAAAAATCTGCAATTGTTTAAATATGTATATGAATAAGTCGACGTGTTTGCACCTACCATTAAATGAGACGGCCGACAGGATTAGTCCGAAAAGGACCAAAAATGTAAACCGCCCCATAGCAAATCGGATATTCCTTTTTCTTCAATATTTCTCTCCAAGTGTTGTGAATTTCGTTAGTACTTAAACCACTTCATAAATTTAGATTTCTTTACTATATAAATATGTTAGGTTGATACAAGTATTTTGTACTGCGCCCTCGTATGCTGCATTAATATAAAACTAAAATTTATATTTCGTCGTGAAATGCACTGAAAAAAATTTTGAAAAAAAAACATTTAAAATGTGTAGTTGGCCAAAAATTCAATTAAAGAAGAATTGATCCGGATTGCAGAATGAAAAATTAAAAAAAAAAAAATCGGAGTGTTCAGCACATAAAGCACCAGAAAGTTTCGAAATTATACATCCGCGCGCTTGGCTGCCGTTTCACGTCGTCGTTCGCGTTTCGTTTTCGTTTAAAAATTATTTCGTTTCGACAAAAATATTTTTTCGCACATCAAACAGAAAATTATTTATTTCGCTTTTAATTTATTTAATTCTTCATTTCATTTTTTTATATATCCTTTATATATATATATTTTATTTCGTTGAGCAGGACATTCGTTGCTCGGGTAATCCTTTGTGTCCCTTTCAACGAATGCCAGCCAATAAGTATTATATTTTTTTTATTTATTTATAGTATATAAATATTTTGCTTCGCGTTTTGTCAAGTGACTGCGCTTTTATTTGAATAACTGTTTTGAATATGCACCAAAATATATTTCAAAAATATATGTAAGTATGAAATTTGTTACAAAAAAATTTTTATTCCAATAAATATATATTTTTAATACGAGTACTACGTGTAAACGAGTCGGTCGATCTCTCCCGGTCCAAAACCAATTCGTAACATAGCAAGGAGATCTCAAAATTTTACCTTGTGACCGCGAAAATTTTTGATATTTTAATATTGAAAGTCCAAATAATTTTTCACTGACAGAATTTTAGTGATTTTTGAGTAAAAACTCAATTTGAGTACTAAGCGGTTGTTTGTGTAGGAAAAACCACTAATTTAAAAGAAAATTCGAGTGCCTGTCGTGCGCTCACTTGTGAGAAAGAGCAACAATGTGATGGAGATTTGTAGAATCAGTGTGGCATTAAAATGATAAGACAATAACTACAAATCGCCTAAGTGAGAGAATTTACATACACTCTTATGACTTATGATTTATAATTTCGAATAATTTATGATTTCTAATTTATGATTATTGATTTTATGATTTATGATTTATAATTTATGATTTATGATTTATGATTTATGATTTATGATATTTGGTTTCCGTATGCCTTAAGGAGAGAGTAATTTTTTCTTATCCGCTCATTTGTTAAAAGTAGAAAACTTATTTTACTCAACCGCAAAAAGACTCACTTACGTCTACTCCAACATTTGGAATAATTTGGCGTAGCCAAGTGAAATGAGTGAAACGAAAATGGGCGAAAGTACGAAAAAAGGTGCGGAGCAGAAGAAAAGCAGACAAATGTGGAAGGATTATCTCTGCTTTCTTTCGATGAAGAAAAATACGCAGAAATGGCTCAGAATATGGATAGAGGGAGAGCTACCGCAAACAAATTTAAATACTTAAATACAAATACATACATATAAAATAAATCAACTTGGATGTATGTGTGCGGCAAAACCATTTGTTATATGCCAAATTTTATTTTATTTTATGCCGCAAATACGTCAAAAGCATTTACAGTGTAACTTTGGTAAGATTAGTTCTGAGACTGGAGATGTGTGTTCGCATTGACTTTCAGAAAATTTTCAAATAAAATGCTTCTTTTAGAGTATAAAAGAATGGGCTAATATGTATAATAGTGTTTTCTAGTCCGAGTTTCGAATTATCTATTATTTAATTATAATAAAACACCTTATTGCCGCTAACTGCTAGTCTTGTTCCGGTCCACGGCCTATCTGCCTGTCCGCTTGTGTGAATTATTTTACTTAATTACCCTAATCTGTTCACACATTTTTACTTATAAACTTCATAGATTTGGAACAAGTTATTCGACATTGCGAAGTGCGTGTAGTTTTTGCTGTGAGAGGCACAAATCATAAGCAAAAATGTGGCTAATAAATTGCACACCCTAGACGAAGCGACTTTGCCGAGGCGATGCGAGAAACGCATGAATGAAAATTTGGCGAAAATGTGTGGGTTGTGGAGAATTTTGTCGCAGATTATCTTCTACATTGACTCACACAAAAATGAGTAAGATCGTTGAATAAGAGATGAAAGAAAAATAAATAATAATTATTTACAATTTAAGTAAAGAAAACTTATTTCAAAGACTGGATGGTATTAAAAGGTTTTGGATAAGAAAAAATTAGAAAAATTAAAAAGTAAAGCGGAAACTTTCATTTATTTATTTTTGTTTATTTATCGTTAACTGAAGACTTACACACTATAAATAAAATTATCGTTTAAAAATACACATTCATTCGTTCCTTAAACAGTAAACACTAAATACTAATGCAACTTACATAAACATATATATATATATATATATGCGAGTATATAAATGAAAAATCAAAAATTTACTTCGTCTCATTTGACAAGGCTTTTTTCTTCGTTTTGGTGCAATAATAACGGTCACTATTCTCTATCCAATCGCAAACATTCAAAATTGTGTGGAAAGCTGTGCCCTCCTTGCACTCGAACTCGACCGGTTCGCCGTGTACACAGCGATAATACTGAGAAAAAAATGTTATGTTGTTACTAATTTGCAAAAATAGTTAATATTATTATATTGACTTTTTATTATTATAAATTAAGTTGATTAAAAAAAATTTGGGAAGAAAAAGTTAACAAGATATTTTAAATTTTCTTATAAATTTTTTTCTTCAAAAAAAAAAAAAAAAAAAAAATTACCTTTTGACAATCTGCATGCGGTATGAAATCTTTATTGGTACAATCAATGTCGGGCGTCGCATGTCCGCCTGCAGGTTGTACAAACTCTGGTTTTGGTTCCAAAACTTCTAATTCGCCAGATTCCTCACTTGTCGATAATGGTGGGGCCTCTGTTGTAGTGGTAGTAGAGGTTGTTGGTCTTGGCTTAGGTCTCGGCTTAGGTTTTTTGGTGCCTTTTGAAGGTTTCTGAAAAACAAATGAAATGGTTTTTCGTACAGCGAAGGGGGTTAAATTAAAATAATACCATTTATTCTTATTGTCCTTTTCTTACTGTCGTATTCTTATGAAAAATATCACTTTCTTGTTTTACTTAATTTCTTTGATTAAAAGATTTCTACTATTTTAATTAATTTTAGTTTGGTTTAATTATTTTATTTTCTTTATTTTATTTAAATTGTAAATTGAATTGATTTTATTTCATTTCATTTCAACTGAATTTGTTACTTTTATTTATTTTTATTATATTTCTCCATTTTTTTTTTAGATTAACATTTATTTATTTTTTTTAAATTTTTATATTTTTTTAAATAACTCCATTCAATTTTATATTTTATTGTGTGTCATTTTATTTATTTTATTTTTAAAATTTTCTTTTAATAATTATTTATTTTATTTCATATAATTCTTAAATTTTTGTTATATTTTATTTTTAATTTATTTTTAATTTAATTTTTAAATAAAATAGAATATAAAACATAAAATATTGTATTTAATTGCATTGCAAAGAAAAAATAATAATATAAATTGCAATATATTATTTATTTTGTTAATTTTTTTTATTCTCTTTTATTTTAGAATTTCTTTTTTTTTGTTTTATTGTTTGTTTTTTTATATTTTGTTTTAATTAATTTAATTTTTTACACATTAATTAATTTAATTTTAATATTTTATATCATTTAGGTTTTTTAATGCATTTTTTTGTTTTATTTTTTTCTCTCTCTCAATGCTCTGCTACCGATCCGGACATTTTTAGCGCACTCGCTAATTGTGTGCCTTAATTTTCTATTTTTGCGGAAGCTAATTTCGCAAACACAAGCGCGACGACTATAAATAGGGAATTGTGTTTGGCTTAGCATGGCCCAGTGAAGCAGTGCTATGCGAGCATCTAGTACAAATGTTGATACATATGTATGTATGTATGTAAATCGTCTCAAAAAGCAGAGCAAACATTTTTGGGAATCACATATATACATGCATATGCAAGGCAAAGACTGCAATTACAACCACACTTAGGTTCGCACGGCTCTAATCAGCTACATACTCGTATACCACTACTTGTATCTCCAAGTACATACGTGTATGTATGTACATGGGTTTGTGTAATTGTGTATGTTTGTTGCAGCAGAGGCTCACCTTGGTGGTTGTTGTTGTGGTTTGCTGGTCTAGCGGTCGTAGGGTTGTTGCTGTTGGTTTTGGCTTCGGCCCCTTCGTAGTGACATCTTGTGACACGAAGTTGGCCTCATCGGGATTTGGCGACGTGGCTGGCGGCTTTGCCCACTCGGGCTGCAAGAAATAAACAAGAAAGATAATAAATTACAGATGCTTTGCAAATTAATAATAAAATAAAATAAAATGATGTACAGATTTTGCCATTCGTTCTTGGCAGCCTTTGCCTGTGCATACGAGTATGTACGTTGGTGCGTGTGAGGGAATATTTGTGAAATGAAATTAGAAAAACTCTCGAAACCGTTAATTATTCACAAGCGCTAAACTTGGCACACTTACCCGCGGCGTCGTCTCCCGCGTCGACTCTGGCACCTTGTAGTCGTGCATGTTGTCATAGAGAATTTGCATCAGCGCATTTTCACGCCCACACAAGCCATGGAAGTCATCCATGTCGATGGCCCAAGTCATAGCGCCCGCATACCCCTTTTGCTTGATGTAATCCATTTTAATTTGCACCGACTTTTCATTCTCATAACCGACCCACTGTGTATCCTTGTACGTGTATGGCACCATGCCTTGGTCATCCCATTGCACGGTCCAACCCTTCGATCCATCCTGCACCTCTGTACATATTTCATAGTAAGCGAGGAAACCACTGGCATTGGTATATGGCCCGGGAGCGCCACCGCCAGCTTCTTTGTTGATGTATGTGCCCATGTTGTAGTTTTTGTTGGAGTTGCCCAGAGTGTAAGTACGCCCGTAGAATGGCACACCTACTACCAGCTTATTCGCAGGACAACCCATTTCTTCCCACAGCCCAAGACCGTCATTCTGCAAGTAAGAAGAAAGTAAATATTTACTCAGCAATCACATCTTCCCATTCCTGTTGACCAACACATACCACATTCAGTTTCTCATATGCCCATTGATCGTGTTTGCGCTTGTAAAGTGGACTGTGCACATCGGCAAAGCCAGCCCAATTGCCACGCAGATCATAAGTCATAGCGTGTATGGCGTCCAGCAATCTGCAAGAAGACTCTGCTCAATACAAGTGCGGTTCGTCTCCTAACTTCTTCTACTTACTCGCACAACTCGGGCACATGATAGCCCTCCTGTAGTCTGAATTTCGCCACGGGCACCGCCATTGTTATTTCCCAACCGCGACCCTCACGATCGAAAGCCCTGCGTAGCTCCTGGACGAAGTATAAAAATTTGTCCTTATCACCAAAGGTGCCACCACGATCAGTTGCGCCCGGGTACTCCCAATCCAAATCGAAACCATCGAAATCGTATTCCTTCATGAATTGCACAACACTGCGTATGAAACTTAGTCGTCGCTCACGTACTGCCACCATTTGCGAATACTTCGAGCCACCCTCAGCCCATCCTCCAACAGCTACCTGAAGCTTGAGATTCGGATGCTTTTGACGCAGTTGTGTGAATTTGCGGAAACCGTTTTGTTCTATATCTAATTCGGGATCAATTACCAATACATCCCAACTCTTATCGTTCAAACCAATAAATGAGTAGACCAAATGTGTGCAGAGATCGGCGGGCACATCTTCGAGTCCATAGCGTCCAACACCGGGACGGTACACTGCCCAATTACTGAAGTAGCAAACAATGCGTGCCGGTTGCTCGTTGGCGGTTGTAGCCCCGAGCGCCACTGTAAGCCAAAAGCAGAGCAACAACAGTTTAAGGGGTTGATCTGAGAAAGAAAATTAAAATAACAGTTAAAGTTATTACGTAATCCACAAAAGCTTGTCTCTCTTTAACGAGAATATAGGAAGCTCCAAAAATCTTTTAAAACGAGACCAGATCGGGATAGTAGAAAATCATCCAAAAAATTGTTTTTTGATTTTGAACGAAATTTTTGTAATTAATCTCTTTAGTCAAAGATTAAAATACTAATTTAATTCGGTTCGTGCTTTAAGGTACTTAAGTATTACGTTGCTTATTACCAACAATGCGAACGCCCATTCTACGCATACCTAATTGTTATCGCCTATCGAAAATATAAGAATGCCAGTGGACGATAAATGAGGAGCTCTAACGCCGCAGCTGCGCCACTTAATTAAAATTCTGCCTGCAAATTGTGAACATTTCAAGAACAAAACAACACTTCCTTTTTGCACTTTTTTCTATGCTACACATTTCACAATCAATTACAGTCGCGCATGAAAAAATTAGAAATATATTTAAGTACCCAATAAACACAGAAATTCGCCGCGAACTCGGAACGAGCACGTTCTGTTGCTACAATATTTCATGGCGGGAGAGTCCCCGTCTCTGCCACTAACTTTGTAAATCGTTGGCATCACGAGATTTCTATTTATTTAAGCCGTTGAGTATTCGAAAATATTAAATTTAAATAAAACTAAATCGCCTTTTCGTGAAATAACCAATGGCTTAGAAATCGCAAATGTTTCACTTGTTCTATAAATGAATCCATTTCACGAAGTTAAATTCAATATACATTATAACTGCATCGTAACGATAAATTGCATTTTAACCAAAAAGTTTCAATCGACACGGTTGAAACGTTTGGAAATGTTATCGTTCAAGCAGTTATCGAATTGCCGTCGTTAATGTTAAATCGTTAACAGACAATGTTAAACGCAAAGTGTGCTGTTAATATCATAGCAAGCAATCATTTTAAACACTAACAATGATTTCTGTCATTTCAACATTAACAATTTCATTTCGTTTCGATAATATCGCTCCGAAACGAAATGAAATCATTTCCTTAAGTTTATGTTTCATATTAATCAAACGGACTGGCAACGTCTCGTTGGTCGACTATCTCTGATGTGAAGTATAAACTTTTGTTATATTTTTCTCACAAATAATTTCTTCGAGGAATGTTTTCCTAATTTATAGACGAAGCAACGGAATTCATTCGCTAACAGTTGCCGCAAGCGTCGAATCAAGCCCAACCACTTTATTCGAGAAAATAATTTTCTAAAGCTTAACTCGAGTCCGTAACGATTACGATGGCTTCGTTTTTGGGTTTGTTGGGAAACACTGCAGGCGCCATAACAATTAACGCATAATTATTTTAATGGCAAGTATCACTTAGCAATTACATAGACAACAACAACAACACTATTATAAAACACGGTGGCGCCCACCGTTGCTAAGTGGTTAGCAGTGCCCACTACCGTACGGAAAGTCATGCATTCGAATCTTAACCACACCCACTTCAAAAATTATAAGAAATTTATGTATCCCTTCGTCCTTAGTGAAAAGTAATCAATTATTTTTGCAATGACGGCCTCAGTGGTCGTTATCTCTTGTTCTTTAAGTGCGAATGCGTTAGAAAAATTATATTTTGTATTACAAAAGAGAATGAAAGAAGTATTGATAACTTAACTAAATGGTGCTTGAGCCTATGCCAAAGGAGGACCCCAGCAAAGGAAGAATACTCTGTATTTTACACTGTTTCTTTGGTAAAGGCGAAAACCTTTTATGCTCCTGATACTGTAACCGTTAATCATGCACAATTTGAATTTGTCGATTTCGCCATATTGTAGGGCGGGTATGATGAGCGACGTGTAGGGTTTGGTTATCGTTCGTCGGGAGAAGACTTAACTTTTTAATTGCCTACTCAGACCAAAGTATCACCTGAGGGCAAGCGTGCGATCACTGTTTGCCTGATGACAGGAGATATTTCGTCTTGCCCTCATTAGTTTTTACCAGACCAAAATTTCCGTCTCATAAAAGTCCGTCAGCTATGGGTATTATTTGTAGGAAAAACCCCATATCACTCACACCTAAAATTATAGAAGAAGCTCGGCCGAAAGTCGTTTCAGCGGTTATAAAGCGCCAAATATATATATATATGTATATATGTATATGTCTGTGCAACTGTTTAAAAAAAGATCGAATAAATTGTGTAACGATCTTAGTCGCACATTTTTATTGTCATTACCGTGACGTGTTGACTTTGACGTTGCCAAAAATTAAAGAAAATCCACCAACAGTTGTGCATGTAAAATATGTAATAAAATAAACAAAAAAACAACAACAACAACATTGACGAACAATATAAATCAAACGAAAGCACATTTATGTAAATCAAACTGAATTTGATGAAAAAAATTAAAAGAATGTCCACATTGCGCATTTAGGTAAATATGTGTGTGTGTATCATAAGTTTATGGTCTTTACGCGTCGCTTTTCTTTTATTAAAAGTCGAAAAAATCGTTGTTTGAATTTTAAAATTAATCATTTTGTTATCAGCCGACAACAGACGCGTATCACACATTTGTACACACGCACGCACACTTATGCAAATTTTCTCGGCTTTTCGCTGGCACTGTGGCTGTGTGTGTGTGGTTGTTGGTGGTGGTGGTTGGTTGGGTGTTACTCAATAAATTTGCAATGCGGCTCATGTCTCAATAGTTTGTTGACGTTCTCGTATTTTACTTTATAGCCAATTATTCGGAACGTCGTTGCCCTCTTTCAGTTGCAGTTCATATACTTTTACGTACATATATTGTACATATCTATGCATAGGTGTGTTTGTGTACATTTATTTTTATGCTCATACATTTTTAGCATTGCTAAGGCCATAAGCGACATCGGAAACACCCGCTTTAATATATAAAGCAACAACATGACATTAATTATTACACTAAAGTGCAATAAAAAGCCATTATGAGGCAATTAAGTTTCCAATATCTTCGATGACTTTTTCAATTCTTTTTTTTAATTTTTTTCTTTTCGAAAATGTATACAAATCGAGTTCATCCATCTGCGGGTGTTTATATAACTTAGCAGTATTTTTTGCTAATTTAATAAAGCATAAAACAAGTAGTTGTTGTAATAAAAATATATATATGAAAATAAGTTAATTAAATTAGCGTTTTCGTTTGGCTAAGGTTTGCCAGTTTTAAGGTGCTTTAATAATATTTACAATAAACAAAGCTTTAGTGGCGTTTTTTTTAAACAAATCACATAGTTTTTGTTTATCTTGTTAAATTAGGCTGGGCTTGAATAATATCAATTTCCTATACCACATAATTCGCTATACAACAATTTCGTTGCTCTGATGAATCTCTTTACAACAATATTGACGTCAACTATCAAGGGTTAAATCAATTAACACTAGCAAAAGCGGGCAGTGGCACAAAAGGTGTATGGATGAATAGTATCCTCCTCCTCACCTAGCTTGTAACTCCTGCGACATTTCCTGCAAGGATCGTTAATTTTCCTACATATCGTCCTATTAAACCGTTGCCGTTTTTGGCCTTGGTCGTATTCCCTCCTTTTACGGTGTACATTGATCGTAATGTCTTTTTGTCCCATTTTGGCCAGCCCTCACTATAATCTAACGAAACCTGCTTGCACGTGGCAAACCGTATACCAATTCTTTTCGATAAGAGTCTGATTCGCCCTATAGTTTCCATATGGAAGATGGTCTACACTGTTTTGCCGTCTCTTGAAGAGATTGGCGACAGTTCAGCAAAATTTTGGAGCTTCGCCAGAACGAATTCAGTGCTTTTGAAGGGACATCCGTTTATATAAAGCATGATTATAGCAGAGATTTTCACCTGAAAGGCACTGCAATGCTCCAATAGCTTGACAGACAGTTTTATTGAAGGATTTCGCGAGAATATACCGTAACTGATTCTTTTCTTTCTTTATGAAAGTTAAGGATGGTAAGCATAGTGCTTCGACACAACAAGCTTAAGATCTATATATATTGTAACGATAAATTGCATTTTAACCAAAAAGTTTCAATCGACACGGTTGAAACGTTTGGAAATGTTATCGTTCAAGCAGTTATCGAATTGCCGTCGTTAATGTTAAATCGTTAACAGACAATGTTAAACGCAAAGTGTGCTGTTAATATCATAGCAAGCAATCATTTTAAACACTAACAATGATTTCTGTCATTTCAACATTAACAATTTCATTTCGTTTCGATAATATCGCTCCGAAACGAAATGAAATCATTTCCTTAAGTTTATGTTTCATATTAATCAAACGGACTGGCAACGTCTCGTTGGTCGACTATCTCTGATGTGAAGTATAAACTTTTGTTATATTTTTCTCACAAATAATTTCTTCGAGGAATGTTTTCCTAATTTATAGACGAAGCAACGGAATTCATTCGCTAACAGTTGCCGCAAGCGTCGAATCAAGCCCAACCACTTTATTCGAGAAAATAATTTTCTAAAGCTTAACTCGAGTCCGTAACGATTACGATGGCTTCNTTTTATTATTTATTATTTATTATTTATTATTTATTATTTATTATTTATTATTTATTATTTATTATTTATTATTTATTATTTATTATTTACTATTTTTTATTTATTACTTATCATTTATTTTTTTTTAATTTTTTATTTATTCTTTATTATATAGCGATTACTCTAAATTTCGTTCTAAACCACAATACCAGCTCCAAGAAAAAATATCAAGAGCATTATCTGTTCTCAGGATTCTTAAAAAAACGGTTTTAAGTACAAAATTTTCTTTATGTGAGTTTTTAAGCATGACAGCAAGCTAGAGCAAATTGAAAAAATTTTCTTTAAATTTCTTATTTAATTTCCTTCGTTTTATGAGTATCGCAATTTTACAAACTCGGCATACTATATTGAAAGAAGTAAAAACATTCTCTAGAATATTATTTTCGGCTTATTGTATCCAAGTGAGTGTTTCTATAGTTCTTTGTTGTTTTCTTTAAGACAGTATTTATTTTATTTTTTTGTGAAATATTAAAAAGAAATGCTCTGAAAGATAACCTCCATAAATACTATTCCGATTCACGATGCTTATCGTCCTATTGCGTTTATTACTTATATATTTAACTATTAATTATTTAATATTGCTCTTTATATTCAAAATCTATCACGCATACATTTTTTCTAGAGTTTAATATCTTAGGAAAAACCACATAAAATATAAAATAAAATCCATCACCCAACTTTCGGCAATTCCGGTTACTCATTGCGTGCATTTTTTAGTCAATCACCGAAAAACTTTAGTTCTTCTTATACATTTTAATGCATACATACTATGCGCATCCTTGCACTACATTTCAAAACTATTAGTTGAGTCACTTTCCGTCAATGATAACACATAAATTTGTAACAAAAGATGAATATAATATTATTATAAATTTTCAACAGCTTCTAATTCATATTAAAAAATGTTTTGTTGTCCCAAAAACCATTTTTTTTTTTAATTTTTAGAGATCATTTTAGCACCAATTCACTTAGCGCTTCACACACTTCCTACGTATGCGAGTACATGTCCTCGACGCAAACACTTGTCCTTCTGTGCATTTCGCTTCCACGGTAGTTTATTCAAAGTAAAAAGTATTACACTCGAAAAAGTAGACCTTCGAAAGGCGAAACTTTGATTTCAAATGCCCAATACTTTCTCCACAACTCTTACCCATGTTTTGCGCGCGAGGTTTCAGCGTCGAGTGACAGACGATGCGCACACGCGTTACGTTTTTATTTGCGTTTTACCGCCCAAACGTCATGCAGCGAACTGTATGCGTGTATGCGTGTATGTATGTATGTATGTACGTGTATGTAACCGGCGAGCGTGTCGACGCAAGTAATTTCTACCACTTCCCATTGGATTCTCACCCGCGCAGGTGACGGACGATAAGTAACAGTAAAAACGAAAACATAACACACAAAAAAGAAATAAAAGTAGAAACAAAAACAAAGTTTTGTATAATTTTAAGCCACGACCTGATAATATTTATTATGCGGTGCGTTGCATTACGAGCCTCAACATTTCCTACCACTTACGTACCTCACCGCCTGTGAACATACACACAAACCAACTCAAGCATGTGTGAAAGAACGTAGGCACGCTCTGTCACCAAAACAAACCGCAGCAGCTCATTATCACTTCTTTGTTTTTCTTTGTTTTTATTTGCACTCGTTTTCGAAGATTTCTTCGCCGCTTTCTGGATGCTGCGGCTACCCACGGGTCCAAGTACAAGTGTGGCTCCGGCGAAGCGGCTCAGTTGACGCGCTCTTATCTACTTATCTTACAAGCATGTGCGTGTGTGCGTGCATTTGTATGAATATATTTATATACGAGTGTGTATATATGTATACTCTGCTTGTTATTATTTCGCGAGCAACTTTCTTCGTCTTTTGTTATTCAAAAAATCTAGAATTACAATGCAAACTCGTTCGGTTCGAATTTCCAGTCATTTCGAGCAGCCAACGCACCGCATGAATGTTAACCAGCCTCCAGCGTGCACAGTCAGTCGTCCGCTCGTTAAACCAGCCTTTCTGTGGTTTTTTATTATCAACACTAAAAGAAGAAAGAAAGTGTTGTTGTTCACACTCATTGCGGTTTTGTGCGCCACAACAAACAGCGCAAGGATTTGAGTTTCTTTCCAGAACAAAAAGAAAATAAATCTTCAGATTGAATAGCAAACCACCGTTGCATTTTGTTCCGTTGCAAGCATCTTGAATGGTTGGTAGTATTTGGACTTGCACCTCGGTACCAGCAGTTCATTGCTCTCAATGGCTTAGTGGACAGGGGTTGGTCAAGCGAATTTGCAGTTAAAGCATTTGACAGTATGATATAGTCCTCCGATTTCGATATTTTTCGAAAAGAAATCAATTATCAAACTTCACGCTCTTAGATGAGTTTTTTTATGGATTCTTTTATCCGAAACCACATAACGGCATATGGGGGCTATATTTCATAGCTCAGATATCGATAATTTGCTTTACTAAAGTGTAATTTACTCTGTGTAGAACAACAAATTTCACGCTTTTATTAGAGTTTTTGACAAATCTTTGACCCAAAATCTCAAATTTGAAAACTCGTTCGTATATATATGATGTCGTGGTATGATTTGGCCGGCTCCAACAAATTATCGTTTCATTGTGCACTGTGTCCCAAGGTTGGTTGAAATATCTTAAAAACTGAGGTGCAGACGAATTCGGGTAAATCAACGCAGCTCGCCAATCTGCTCCCAGACTTCAATCATCCTTAAAAATGTGTACATATTGAAAAAAGATAAATATAAACTCATACAACTACTTCTTTCCTCTCACAGAATCTTTAGGACTTTTTAAAAAGAAACAACAAATTTCTTAACTGTTTTCGACTTCGAACTAGTTCTTTAACTAGTCCCTAATACTGATTCGGCATTGGTTCTGAATTAATCTGAAATACTTCTCAGAGACCTGCAGACTTCAAATTATGAGTGCAAATTAATTCGGTTCATATTTTTTTGTTCAAAAATAATTAAGAAAAAAAATCATCTCTGTCCTCGATCAAATCATTGAGTCACTTTTCCTTTTGCTTGCATCGAAAGAGCTAGTCGGAAGGAGCGTTCGGCGTTTAAGGTAGATTTTTACCGTTACATGGACCCGAGCGTTGTCTAGTTACAAAATCACCTTATTAGTTCTTTCGGTCCTCTTTGGCCGGTAACACTCTCTGCATGATTTGTCGGTCGACGCAGATTAACCATAAGCTCCCAAATGCATTTTATGCGCTTCAGCTGAAAACTCCTTCCAGTTAAAATAGAAAATCAAAGCTTCCCACAAATGCTTTTTACTTATCACAAATCCACACATTTTCGAAAAGGCTAATAACAGTGTTTTTGTTAGAAACAGAACCAGTTATTATTTTTCATCGATGTGAAACCTGTCAAATGAAATCGGTAACCGCTTCCAAAATCTTTTGAGAATGAGCCGAATATATTTGTAACTCCAGTGTTCTACAGTGTTCCTATTAATTTGCATATTTACGATCTTCCACAAGCCCTCAATAGAGTTGAGATCAAAGGACTGAGCAGGCCAATTTAAGACGACTTTACGTCTCAATCAAGTTTTACAATGCTAGGAGGTGTGCTTAAGATCGTTGCCTTGCTGGAAATTCCATTTCCATTTCGTCTCTTCTTCTGCGTATGGCAGCTTTATATTTTCAAAAATGTCGGTATACATGAAACGATTCATCATTCTAATTATTTTATGAATTGGTCAGATACCTTGACCAGGGAAAAAAACTAGTTTTGCACTAGATTATGCCTTAGTTTTGACCAATACTGTACATGTATAATATGTACATATGGACGCTTTATAACCGCTCAAGCGATTTGCTGCTGAGCTCCTTATGAACGGATACGAAATGATTACGATAAATGAATGAAATAATTGGTGCGCTACAGAATTTAATTAGTCAAAAACTAGTTTCCCAAGGATAGGCAACCAGTTTTTAAGTTTTTCTGTGACTGAATGGTTCTCGAAGAAGTGCATAAATGACAAAATAATATTTCGAAATTATTGTCGACATGCTTCCGTTTTTAGAGTGGTTCCATAACTAAATATAAACTTGCTCAAAAACAGTTCGAATTTCGCTCTGAAATGCTTGTTAATTTCTTCTGTAGCGATCTTCAAACAATCTGGAATAGTTAGAATTAATATTGAGTTTTTTATGTCGACGAACCCTGCGTTACCCATCTCCACTCCAATCAAGGTGAATTAAAATATCCCACCCCGAAAGCTGGTGACCGATCCATACTTCCCTCTTACAGTGACAGCTAAATATTTGCTCAGCAGCGGCTCATTTATTTCAATTACAAAATTACATGGAAAAAGGAGGAGAAATTTCCTTTTTTATTTACTGCTCCTAGCAAGTAGGATTTGATACAGAGGCGGTCAGAGGAGTTAATGCTGGCAGAATAAGTATTAAAATCGTTGCACCAAGATTCGTGCAATTCAAAGGTTTCTGATTGAATACAAAGAAAAGGACCAGGTGATATCGCTTCTTATCAATTTGGTAAAAAATATAACTCCAAACACCTTTCTACGAATATGTTAGGAAGGGAATTCTTCTCTGCATCCCGAATTGCTTATCACAAGTAGTGTGGACTCCATACAACTGGGCCATATTCCGAAATGGGTCTGACAAGTAATGTAAAGAGCTTAACATTTAATGGAATCCAATATGGCTTTACCCTATATTAGCGCAAGAACTTATGAGATGTCTGAAATCTAGATTAGGGTCCATTGTGGCAGATAAATCGATGAATTCAGGAACTTGTTCAGCATTGTAATTATGTATCATATGGCCGAAAGTTTGGAAAGACTTTCTGGAGAAACACATATATATAAAGTTACCTAAATTTAGGGGTATACATTTCGCAACACATCACCTAACAAATTTATTTGGATCAAGCTGCAAAAGTTCTCTTTGTTCAATAGAACGAAGTGCCGATTTTTCGTATAACGAAATTTACTTGAAAAACGAAGGTTGAAATCCGAAATGATCGAATTTAATGTGAAATGAAGACTGTGAGGGACTTAGTTAAAGGCTTTGCTGAGGTCGGTGTAAATATCATCAGTCTGGCAAACATTTTTAAAATCATCAATCACATGGTGTGGGTTCAATAGGATAGATTTAGCTTTACCCTGCATGAACGGGCTGATGGGTTCACCAATACACTAACACGAATTCGGGCAGCACTAAATATAAAGTTCGATTATTTTTGGGACACACCGTGTATGTACATTTTTTTGCTTATCTTTCTCTTCTGAGTACATACAAATTGAAGAAGAATGCAGTTGAACGGATTATCCGATTTTCTTTGTTCTTACGAGTATTTTCTAATAGAACGCCATTTTTTATCGTTTTCTCCGCAGTAGATAGAAGTGAAAAATACTTGATCAGGATCCTGTACAAGCTATGGTAATAATATATTTTGGTTTAATTAGTTACTCCATTTTCCATTGCTTTCTACGTTTGTTTATTCAAAGACACTCCATGTCGTACGGAAAGATCAGATAATGGAGCAGTTTGACTGTAATGGACGCTTCTCAGCTTGTTGCAGTAGCAGATTTAAAGATATTCAATAAAACTCTGCAAGGTATAACTGCGTTAAGACATTAATAACAATATTATTGACACATTATTTTTTTCCCTTTAAATGTCTTTATACTTCAAGGGGGCTGCGATTATGACGGAGGCGTTCGTGGAGCCGAGGAGCTGGGACACTAATAAAGACTTCTTCTGTAAATGCGGTTTTGTTTATAATATTTTGTTGATATTTAATAACGTTTGTATGTATGTATATATGTAGGGAACATTTTTGTCAAAGCTGATTTCCTTCGGCATCAATGCTGTCACTCAGCTGTGTTCTGTTTGTCCGACAAGAATGACAAAAATGCACCAGAAAGCGAAGAGAGAATGACGCACACGTATACAGATGTAAACATCACGTTTGCCATTTCGGCCTTAAGAGAGTGATAACTTTTTAATCCGCGTTAATTTCTTAGTGAAAATCCAACTTTTTTCATTGTCTCGTATTATTTTTTACGAGTATCTGCATTATTTCAATATTCTCAATATGCTTTTTTTTAGTACAACAAAAGTTCTGATAACAAACTAAACAAGAATACTATTTATCATCTAGTTTCTTCTAATGTGCACCTCGCGAGTTGCGAGACTGTCTCTAATGGAACAACAATGTCGAAATTGTAGAAAATGCAGTATTCTACGGAAGATAAGATTGTTTGTCAGTAATATGAATTAAATCATTTACTAAATAATTTTTTTAATTTTTTTATTTTTTTACTTTTTTTCAAGAATAATTAGATGTTGTAGTATCTACAGACTAAAAAAACTATAAAATAAGAATGATTGTAAATTCCACAAAATTTATTTATGTAAGATATTGAGTTAACTTTTCTAGTATCAACGTTCGCCTTGGCTAAGCGAAGAGCCACTTCTTTGTTCTAAGCTTGCGTGCATTAAGGTTAAACGCTTAAGAATAGCTTCAAATCGTAAAACTACCCACAGCGGCTATATACTAACCTGATCCAAGTGATATAAGAACGCACCGAATCGTACCAGTTTTCGGCGTATTGTCGTTCGAAAAAGTATTCCATATGTTGATCAGGGCAACAGCAATTTGTATACCAACTGTCAAGCAAACCGGACTTGGATCCCAGTCAAATTCCGTAAAAGAAAGTGCACCTCATATACACCTATTAAGAAAGTCTTATAAATTGTAAACTTCTCAGATGCAAAAGGCATACGCTCAGGTCCACCGATAGAAAATCAACGAGATAGAATGAACTTAAATAAAAATGAAAATGAATGAGGAATCTGGAACAATTTTTGTTTAAATAATTTTATTACCTTTATTTGCATCACAATAGTATTTTAATAGGTAGCAACCCTCAAAAATATGCCTTCCTTGCTTTAACTGATGCAAATTCCTCAATGATAATACCGAAGTCAAGTTTTCTAGCTAATTGAGATTCCAAACATAACGTTGCCAGTCCTGAGACTCGAGATTGGCTTGAACAAGAACGATGACAGTTCTTTATTCTTGAAAGTACGCTAAATGATCGCTCGGCGCTCAACTGAGGCTGGCAATGTGCATTCAACAAATCGAATGGAGACAAATGAGTTGTACTACTCTCAGCAAAATTAGCCTGATAAACGTTATTTAAGTGAATGATTTCGCACGATATTTCGTTTGACACATCAGCAGGGTATTTTTCAGCAAAACGTAGCGCAGCAGTCTGAACCTCTTCTACTTCCATTTTCGGAAACAACCACAAGAATGAAAACATGTTGTTGATTGCTCTTATTGAGGCAAATCTGCTCTTTATTCCCGCGATGATCGAATCCATGATAACGAAGAAAGTGTTACGTTTAAAATCAATTTCTTCATCAGTATAATCTTCATCTGAATTTTCGGGTGCAACTTTTTACTACTCACTGAGAATGTTGACGTGGTGGTCGTCAAATGTTCGTAAACTGTTCGACATTTTTTTAAGATAGCATTCCACTGGTTGCGTCAAATCTGCAGATTATCTAAGAGACTTGCGAGATTTTTGACTTCAATATCTAATGTGGCTTTTTTCTTTTGCAGAACCAAACTAACGTCATTGATGGCTGTAAGAATCTTGAACCATATCGATGACATTAGGATACATTCAAATTTGCTAATATATTTCAAAATTCCATCAACATCCCGTCTAGTCTCAGCAGTAAGATTAAGTTTCCTACTTCTTCTAAAGCGTTTTTTAGTCCGGGTAAATTTTTGGCAAAAGACTTAACAGCGTCAATCCTAGCAGAGCATCTTGTATCTGATAAATATAGCTCTATGTAAGATTTTTCACAGATTATAGCCTGAAAAATTGATCTTACTCATACAAAACTAAATCTTACTGCAATGACTGTAAGATAAGAACATGCGTCACATACATCATATGTGAAGTAACAAAATTACTGATTTTTTTCAGACGCGTAGAATTAGTATCGCAATCCATGAAAATATGTAGTCAGTTACGTCATAGATATTCTAGAAGCAAATTATCCTACATAAGGCAATGAAAACACCGGGCCTTCTTGCACTCTACGGGCCCGGGGGGAAAAGTCCCCGATCCCACCCCCTCTCGTTGGGCCTGCATACGCTCTATAAATTATCCCGCTTAATTTAATAACCTTCGAATTAAATCGCAGAACTACACACAGGTACAAACATGAATATATTGTGTCTAATTTTTCTATTTGATTAAAATACCTTCTTTGCAGCAGGAAAAAGCAATTCAATGGAGGGGGAGAGAAAGGAAGAAAAAGAAAGGGTGTGTCTATTTTATATATGAGCAACAAAAACAAACACAAAACTTGCTCCACTGTAGCTTGCGTTCGATGCGTGATGAGACCCATTTTGGGATTTTCCAAAACTGTAATCTTAAAGAAAAGAGATTTAATTTCCGAATGTACCAAAACTTAAAGCAGCGATTGCGTAGCGCAGATATTTTGTTCTAAAAGTATTATAAAAATAGGAAAAGTTCTTTTTGGGCTACGTCAGCGTAAGCTCTAAATATATGAGCATTATTACACGTACATAGAAAGCTGAGATTCACTACAAATTGCTATGAATTCGTACACAAAATAAAACAAGTTATTGACTTAAACCTTCCTCAAAACCCTACCACATGAAGCCCTCCTAACAGTTTTTGAGTTTATCGCGAACAGACAGACAGACGCGGAACATTTAAGGACAGGGAAGTGATAAATGTACATGCATATCCTTTTCAAATTTTTATATGAAATAAAATTGATATGATTTTTCAAAACGCCTTTTCAACTGAAGAGTTCTATAGCTGAAACCATGTTTGAGAGGGTTCCCAGCAATACAAGGCAACCCTAGCTCTTACATTTTCCATTTACTCTAACTTAGCATGTACAAATCGCAACATTATATATATACATTTTGCATGCAATAATTCTAGTAACAACTTCACGGAAAGTAAGAAGCAACAAAAATATTCTAATTCATGATATGTAAAATTGTATCTCTTGCTATTCTCACTGTAATTTTTAATAGGTGGCAACCGTCGAAAGTTTCTACATATAAAGAATTAACCGTTATTGAACATATAAAGGCATTCATTTTTGTATTTTTCGATTTCGCACGATATTTCGTTTGACACATCAGCAGGGTATTTTTCAGCAAAACGTTTCCAAATCGAACGTCTATATCGTACATGGGATCTGGTGTTGTAGTTGTTGTTGTTGTTGTTGTTGTTGTTGTTGTCGAAGTAGTTGAAGGTATTGGCGCAAGAGTAGGTTGGGTGGGTACAGACTCACTGGCTGGTGGCGCTTTGGGCTCTGAAGTCGCGGGTAGTGGTGTTGTTTGTGCAGGGGAAGGTTGTGTTGAAGGATTAGGCTGCGGTTGAGGTCCATTGTTGAAGTCAGGTGGAACTGTGAATAATTAATATACATATATATATATATATATATAGTAAGCCAGTGTATTTCTTTAAAAACACCTTATTACCGTCAGAATGTGGTGGGCCGTACCCGGGCGGCCCATGATCTGGTGGTCCATGACCAGGCGGACCATGACCAGGCGGACCATGAACAGGCGGACCACGACCAGGCGGACCACGACCAGGCGGACCATGACCAGGCGGACCATGACCAGGCGGACCATGCCTAGGCGGACCATGGCCAGGTGGTCCATGACCAGGCGGACCATAGCCAGGCGGACCATGAGATGGTGACCCTGTAATGAAAAATTGCGTATATATAAATATAATTTAAAAAATTTCATGAAATTTACATGGATTCCCATAGAAGCCAGTAGGAGCTGGGGAAGATAAATAAAATTTTGCACAAAAAAATTTAAAATAAAAAAATAATTGGTTTCATATTAACACACGCCATACCTCCGTAAGGTGGACCTGAGTAATAATCAAATGGATTACCTCCGTTAAAGCCAGGTCCCGGCGGTGGAGGAGGACTATGGTAACCTGATGAATAATCACTCGTATCATAATCATCATAATCTAGCAGTTTTGATGTTGGAGCAAAGCGATATGTTCAGCAATCATGAGAGGACCCAGAATGATGCGTAATGAGTAATGACGGTTAATTGAGATATGAGAGTTTTCTATTAAATACAAATCAAATGTAAAATGCTCATTGCAAGCACCTGTGTAGGGTGGGGATGGAGGTGGCCTATTCCGGTAATGTTCGCGATGCACAACATTCGCTGCGGATGGTTGATGCTGATGAGATATGACCACGGTGGGTGCGGATGGCCTTGGACCATCGCTACGATGCTTATGACGGACTACTGTTGCAAATGGTTGTTCCTGTCGATAAGCGTAATTGTTGTTGGCGCCGAAATCGCCACAACCGTTAAAACCACAGTTACCGCCAAAATATTGGGGCGTACGTTTGAAGCGTGTTGGTGCTGCTACATAAACGGCATTTGGCTGAGAGTCTTCAGCGACAAGGTCAATGTCGGAAAAGGTGCTGAAAAATAAGAAAAAAGTGTAAGCAATTGAAAAAATAAGTTAAAAATTAAGTAAAAAAATAATTTTTTTTTAAAGAAAATTAAAAGTAAATAAATTAAAATTAATATATATATATATATATAAATATATATACAAGCCAATAACAATAACTACAACAACTCACGCATCTTCAATCAGCGGTGCTCCACGCGTTTGCCAAATGGCCACAGCTGCCAGCAGGAGCTTTGAGGTGAAATAAAGAAAATTTTAGTCAAAGTCAAGCCAAGTTCGTCGCTTGAATCTTCTGTTGTCGAAGAGCTCTACTTACGCAGCTTAAGGGCCAAATCATTGTGCGATCGTAGGTTACTCTTAATCATACACAAAAATACTATTTTTTTTTTATTTCAAACAGGCTTCTTTAATTTATTTATTTATTTTTGTTTTGTTTGTGTTTGATTTTGTTTTTGGTTTTGTCGTTGAGCTGAAATCGAATATTTAATTCACACGTCTTCACTTAAGCGCCACCAAACTTCGACTAAACGCGAGATGAGCTGCGAGAGCATTGCAATTCATCGCTGCCATCAATTGTTGAACAAAAAAGCGGAATGATGAAAAAAACAATTAAATAATCAGCAATTTTCAGCTTAAAAAGTGACGTCCCTTAGTGCGAAATTTCATATGCGTGAGTGTGTGTATTTGTATTAAGTAAACAGGCGTGTTTTTATTACAACAAAATACCGAACGGCTCTGAAAAAAACTGGAATCCAGTGGCATTCATCTGAGAGCTTTTCGCTGTGGAGATTCGGGTTTTGAGTTTTAAAATTTTGACTCTTGCTAATTACCATTTCATTATGGTATTCTCCTGACATTCAACGAACTTTTCATTTACTCTTTTGTCGGTTTTTTTTTTTGTATTTTTTTGTTGTTGTTAGTGCTGCTACTTATTTACCTAATAAATGTTCAAAATGATTAACACATGTTTAGTGGTCGAAAACATGAAATCATTTCTCAATTAGCAGCAGGCAGGCAGCAGAAGACAAGCTCATTCAAGATATATACGTGTATGTATGTCTATTCAAGAGTTTTTGTTGTACACATATATTAACACACACGTCTTTAAACCACAATCAATCCATTAGATAAATAGTCAAATAAGTGCTTTTGGTTTTTTGACGGTTTCTTCCATTTCGCTTTACCTGCTTTGGCTAATTTTTTCGTGACGTCATTTTGTGCACTTCTGATGATCTTGAAAATCAGCTGAAGTTTGTTTTGTGTTAGCGTAAAGGTAAATAAAACAAAAATAAAAAAATAAAAACAAAAAAAAAACAAAAAAAAAACGGAATTTCAAAGCTTTCAGGTCTATTAAGCTTTTGAAAATGAATACGAGCTTCTTTATATTTGATATTTTTTCATTTTTTTTTCACTTATAATTTTTTTACCAGCATTTTTTTCTTTTCCCTAAAAATTAAAACTTACCATGAATTATGTTTTTCTATATTTTGCTAAGTCTACGTATAACGATGCGTGATATTTGGTTAAGCGGCCGCAGAAGCCTAGCGGTTCGTCCTCAGTGCCATCACTTGAATCCAGTTCAAAACAGATTAATATTCAAAATTTTAGAAAAACTAATCACAAACACCGCCACCTTCCGATTGTATTACTGTCATGAAATAAAAAGCTTGGAAAATACTGTTGGTCCTTCCTTTTGTGAAAAACACACCAGAACGCTAACAACAATTGGCACAATGAGCTCAGGCGGGCATCTTTTCTTATCTAAAAACACAATTTTATGAGAGCAGACATGTTGACATATTCGGTAAGATTTTGCTCTCAATGATGTTTGGATTATTGGCTGCAAGGCCACATCCGTTTTATGGATTTTTCATGGACATGCCGTAACTACCGCAAGGAGAAGAGATAGATCCATCAAGACTTATACCGATCGGGTCAGAACGACGAGTTGAGTTGATTCAGACATATCCATGACTCGGTCTATCTGTCTGCTAGCACGCAAACAAGCATTTATACGGCTGCTTTCTCAGAGATTTGGTTCATAAATTTGACGAAAAGGCATCAAAGTTCGTGAAGTTTGGTGTTCAGCACACAAAAAATTGATGAAACAGAAATTGGAGATGAAAATAAAATAAATGAAATTGGACGATTAAAACATATAGTTTCCGTACAAAGATTATGCCAGAAATTAAGTTTTGGTCAACAAAGTCTCCAAATAAACATATTCGCAGAAAACCATCGAAATGGAAAAACTTCATCAAATGAAAATTAGTATTTAACTGTGAAAAAGCATCTGGGAGATACGGAAGAGACTTGCCGTGCGAATGAAATTTTTCAATGATGAAAAAAGTGCGTTGCCTTAAAATATTTTTTTTGGTAAATTCTTTGCAAAAACAACTACATCGCGCCAAGTTTCACAGCCGCAGAATATCTGAACACTTAATCCTGGATATGTCGGTAAAAGGAAAAGTTAAAAACAAGAACAGGTAAAAGCGGCACAGAAGTCGCTTAATGGGATAACCATTGGCTCGCGCTGTGGGCATCCTAAGGTTGCATTCAATTCAAACAAAGGTGTCTGGCAAAAGAAGTCTGATGAGAAAACATGGCGGTTTCCGAAATAGCAGCTATAACTTCTAACTTCCAAAATTGTTGTTGCAATTTTTTCACTAACTCCAAAAACTATATGAAACATTGCAATAAAACTAAAATCCAAAAAAAAAAAAAACACCATAAACTTGATATGATCATAGATGGTATAAGGGCTTCGCCGTGACCGAAGGCAGTCTTCTTTTTTGTTTTGATTTCATTTTGTATTTTTCGCTGAAAATCTCACTTTTATTCAAATCGCGACCAAAATCAGTTGGCAAGAAAGTGAAATTAGGATAAAATAAACAAATAATAAAATAAATTTTTTTCAAATTTTTTTTTATCTCATTTCATTTCATTTTGTTCTGCGTTTACTAATTCATGAATATGCATTGAACTCGAGCAGATCTTAGATCAAACGAGACCGTTATAAATTTCTTGAGCTCACCTACTTTCGATGCTCATAAAATGTCAATTTCTGAAAACATTTTTATGGGCAACTTTATAGCGCCTGTCCGCCTTTAGCTAATTATCAACAAAGTCGTACTTTGAAAGCGTTACAATAACAAAATGTAAAGCAGCAAAGCTTACAAACATAATAGGAAAGATTATATAAATAATCCAATTAGACACTTGTTTATGCTCGTGCGCCTCGCTGACATGAAGAAAGTTAAAATTCACCTAATTTCTGGTTGGAAAAAAAAGAATAGATATGTACGAGTATATTTGCAAATACCGTTGTCAATGACTTCCTTGGAAGCGCGGCGTGACAGCGCAACGCCTCAGCAGGTGTTGGCGTTTGTCATAAATATCTATGTACATACATATATGTATGTATATGTATGTATGTTATGTGCTCGCATAATCTAGCAGTGACAACTTCATTTCTGCTTTTGGCAAACAACCAAGCAACAGTATCTTTTTTCCATTACGTTACATATGTACATATATATATATATATGTATATATTCTTAGCTCTGTTTGTATTTTTCCATTACTTAATTGATTACATTGCACTCACAACAATTTCTCTTCAGTATGCGGGTGTCTGTCTCAACGCCATGAAGTGGCAAATGCATTTCTGACATACAAACATACAGATATATACATAAATTACTATATTATTTTAAGGGCATGTGTGAGTACGTCTTCTCCCATGCAGTCGCTTTGTCTTTACGTTTTCCAGCCAACTTGTCTTCTGGCGCTTAGCTAACTGGAGCTCTTTGTCTTTGTTAGTCTGTCGCCTGTTCGTTTTCGAAATGCCGCATGAATCACAAAATCAATTCTTTACTCATACATACAGCGATGAGCCAAAAATTGGTATTTTTTTTTTAGAGAAATTTTATTCTCATTCAAAAATGTTCGCTTGAAAATTTTCTTTGAACCACATCCGCATAAGATTGAGTCAGAAAATGTCCTAGCCAATGATATTGGCCATTGGAGTGCCATCTCTCTTGCTAGTGAACCAGAAGAAGATAAACAAAAGCCGAAAAAAACGGTCTCTAACAGCTGGGTGCCGGATTGGAGTGATATGAAACGCATTAGCAACATGCGAAACCGTCAAGATCACGTGTGAGAGCAGCAAAAGCAACGCCCCTTTCTTGTTTCCATATTCACGTAAGAACTACGAACAGAGGAAGACTTGAGTGAGACGTGGGAACATCTCCTCTGTTTCTGTACGGCCTAGTGCAGAACTCGTCGTAGATATCTCGGTGGATTGCCATACGGATGCCTTGGATTCTTGGACAGACCAAAAACCGAAATTGAAGCAAGGAATGTCAACCCATCCGCGTTTTCCGTTATGAAATAAAAACCCGCTCATGGAAACCCGTTAGCCGTTCCAAGGTGACTTAGAGAGCAAAAGCTGTAGGTTTCTCGAATTGTTAGAAAAACATCAAGATGCACGCCAGAAGTTGTTGGAAAAGCTCGGCCGTAAGTCGCTTTAGCGGTTATAGAGTGGCTGTCAGTCTAAAATATTTGCAAATTTTATGCGAGAAAATTTATATTAAAAATTTGGTGGAATTTTGCCAAAAAGGTTTACATTATTCACACACAAAAAGTGAGAAAAAAATCAAAAACGTATGAGAAGCATCAGCAAATGCCAATTTTTAGCCCACCACTGTATGTACATATATACGTGTTTACATACGCTTCTTGGCAGCATTTCGTGTGCAGTATTTGTTGTGATTTTTAATTTGCCTTTACTGTTGTTGCTGCTATTATTGTTATTACTTTGGGTGGCACGCATGCCTGCTGACTTGTTGTTGAGAGCTACATACATACATAAATACTTACTTACTAGTGGCTTTACACTTGCTTATTCACATTCGCCACGACGAGTGGACGAGTGGATAAGTGAGTAACATTGATCTTGAATTGAACACTCATACATATGCATGTGTGTTTGTTTGTATGAAAGTGTGTGAGTCGATGTGTGCGTCGGAGTGCACTGCACGTATTAAAGATGTCGTCTGCTGTGCTCGCTTGCCAAATGCATATTAATTTTGATTTGCATAATAAAAGCAATTACGTGGAAAGTACTTTTGTTGACATTTACGTTGAATTCGCTTATCACTTTTCGCATTGTCTGCGTGTATATGTATTTAGGCATGTACGTGTATGTATATGTGTTTAGCCAAATGCTTCCGCCTACTTTGTTGGCACTATAAATGATTTATTGGCGGTCACTAAGAACACCACAACCACACACACTTACATATCTATAGACGCATTATTCATATATAAGAATATATGTTATGCCATAAAAATAATTGTTAGTTTTTAATAAGTAAAAAAGAATCCCTAGAGATTTTCTTTAAAATTTGCCATATTTGGGTATTCCTAATTTTGAATTTAGCAATTTTACCAAATGCTGGACAACGAACTGCCAACCGAGTTATTCAAATGCGGCGACGAAGAATTGACGATTGACCAGTTGCATGCATCAGCTACTTTACAGAATATGTCTGACGATAGGGACTTA